TCGTATGATCCTACGCAAGTTGATCCTGATATTTAGTCTGACATTAATGATACTCCATAAACCGGCGTGTTTTAAGTTCTAAAATGATATTGATATTCGTCGACATGAAAGATTGAATTTCAAGGATTCTTTCTAGCTTCGCAACACAAACAAATAAATCAACAGATAGTTCTAACGACTTTATTCATTCGGTTTTGATGAAAACCTAGTTTCAAAAAATAGTCATTAAAACAAGCATATGTACCGTGATACATTCAGTTTGGTCATATAAACTATGTCCTCCTCTTGTCTGACTCCTTTTATCTTTATCAAATAAGTTTTTAAAGAACACAGTACGCAGACCTCTTCTGTGGACCATGCCCATCCCACAACATACCCACCAAAGCAATAGGGACAGCTTATCACATATGCTGTTTTCCAATGATTTCATTTTCCCTACTCTCAATGTTTCCATGTAAACAAAATCACGTCTCTGTTTCTCTAATACAACGGGAAAGATACCAACATGCTTACGAAATCAGAATTCAAACACAATTTTTGGTGAAACTTTGGCGACAGAAAGACTTGCACGGACACTCCTAAAGAGAACAAAGAAAATAAGACCTCGTGTTCTTGAAGGGTATGCGTTTTCTGCTTCATTGACGAATTCTTTAAGTTCTGATATTTTATGGTATAAAAGGTAACACACACGTCTTTTTGGAAATTGACAGATGACGAGTTAAAAATCAAAACACATATATAAATGAATGGAAAAATCGAGTGTTCTACTTGTTATAGAATTGAAAGTTCAGAGCCACCAATAACTAAAGTAAATCTTCAGTCTCGTGCACCATATTTAAAGAGTAAACAATTATGAAGAGTACTTTAATACGTCGCCTATTTTCTGTAACGCATGTACTTTTCGCGTATCTATAATTTTACAGAGACGTGTGTGCATGGATTGTGTGAATGATTGATGGCAGAACGGGTGCAACATCCGCCAGTGTGTAGATGATGAGAGGTAAAACACGACCTGTTTGTACGTGATTTATTACAGCGAGTTATCAATAACTAAATCCTGCCAAGTCCTAGGGATCATTGACCAATGATATTATTAACGTGGGAGATTTGTTTGTTTGGTTTATCGTCACGTAAACTGTATATTTCAGCAGGTCAGTGAATAGAATAGAAGTTCTTATAACACAACCTGTAGAAGATTTGAGTTCCTATGACTATACAATACCTTCATCAGACAAATGACCAGAGAAGCATGCTTACTTGTTTTTGGTTTCTATATATATAATCTGTTTACCATATTGTAACACTATTTTCGACCTTTGTGTGCAAAGGATTATAGTTCAGTTGGTCGATTCCTTACCATCTCGTATACAACCTACGCCAGTGTAGGTACGCTCCACACTTGTCATCGTAACGTCACACTCTAATCTTCTATATGTTTTTCGATTGATCAGAATTTTTGGTCAATTAGTCAATGTCTAGGTTGTAATTAAAGACAAAAGACAATAAAACAATAAATAAATGACAATAAATGAATAAATGATATTTTTAAAATTTAAACATTGGAACAATGAACGTTTAAATCGTTCTTGTATTCTTATCTTGCCCTAGTGTCATCGGATCTGTTATCATGTCGGTATTTTCTTTGATTTTTTTTGTTTTTGTTTTTTGTTTTATATGCACTGTGTCAAATAAGATGAAACATATTTTTACGATTAGATATTAAATGTAGTTAGATTTGCCACACTTAATTATAGTAGTTGTCTCTAATAGTGTACCTATCTGCCCGTTGTCCATGGAATTCTTCAATATAATATGTTTGCCTATTTGTCAGTAGTGTAATATTTTCATAAGTCACGTCATTCAGAAAGCGATTGTGATGTCATGATATGGACAATGAAGGTACGTCATCGATAAAGGCACAATAAAATATCTGATTCCGATTTTTTTCCCCGCAAGACTTTTAATTTAAACTCGCCAAAATCTAAATTTATGAGTTTTGTGATAAAAAATATCTCTTGTGAAATTTTATGGAATCCGTCTCAAAGTTATCAGTTTTTCTCGCCAAGGCTCGCAAGATAAAAACTTCTAAGACTCGATTTGTAAAATTTCATATCCAATAAAAAATCATTTTAAATGTCCAAAATGACACTCTCTGGTCCAGCTCTTTTGTGTTCGATCTTTCCTGAATGTTTTATGTATATATATAATTTACCCGAATGCCTTACGGCTTTCGGTAAATATGGAATCTGAATATGAACGTTTAAAGAAGTTTTCCGTAACCCATCTCCCGCCCTATTCCATCCTCCACCACCCATCGTGAATACTATTTAAGCAACAATAACAGATTGCAGCTTTCTCTGTAACATTTTGAAACATGTTTCCTACTTTTATGTTACATTATCGCTATAAAAGGTTATCAATTTCGCAGAAATGTGAAGCGTAATGGTTGACAATTTATTTTACATAAGATGATGACCAAGTGAATCCTTCTTACAATTTGTATAGTATGTACGTTTTTCTCTAAACTCTAGGTTTATATGTTGATTTTAGGTTGCATTCTGTTTCATATTTTCAAACAGGATTGGAATAATAAGTTTAATCGAGATTCGTAAAAGCTAAACTAGAACTAAAAGTTTTAAGGTCAGAAAAAAATTCTTAGCAAAATCTTAACGATTTTCATATTTTTTTATCATATCATAATTCAAAATAAATGGGGGATGCTGAAAAGTCAATATTTTTCTTGGGTTTATATTTTGTTAATTTTTAAACCGCAAATTCACATGTTCACAAAGTGTTTAGTTATCAATAGTGGACATGAAGTTAATTATGTATCAGCGGATTTTGTGTATTAATCAACCAGCGAAATCAAATATCATCGAAATATTGTGTTTTGTGGTAAAACTACGACATTAAAGCCACACAAAAACCACCACATTGGAGCAAAATGTTGTGATTTGACGGAAACTACAATACAACGCTTTACGTGACCTACTTTGATGTATACGCTAGTCACAAGAAGGTCTTGCGATCTTATAACATAAATGTCCGTTTCACCTTCCAACATATGGAAACAGACTTCACGTGCGATATAACGCACGGTAGTTATTTCTCAGATACATTCAGACAGATGTACGAAACCCGGAGGAGAATAAACAGTCGGCAGAGCAGTTTGGTTTTTGACAGATTTATTGGCAAGCTATGGTTCAAGGACGGTTTGTAATAGGAAGACGCTGGCAAAAATGACTGGCGGGAGACCCTTAGTTAAGTTACGAGAATGTTATAAAATGTTATGATTATTTGATACGCGAGCTCACCGCCACCATTAATGCGAACAGCAGTATATAGTTGCAGCACTTCATCATTAAGATCCTATCATCCCGTAAAAAAAATCATAGTGTTTATATCTCTTAAAAGTATCGATTGGCGATTCCACAGATTTATCCTAATTCAGCATATACAAATAGATAATCACGTATATTTGTTTTTAAAGCAAGATCGAAAAAAATACAAATTAGTTTAAGGTTTAAGTACCAGTCTGTTATGTTGTAAATAGAACACAGAAGAGTTCGATATATGTTACTTCAGAATGCTTTCTATTTAGTTTAGTTGAAAAAAAAAGAAAGAAAAAGAAATTAGTTCGTTTTTATAATGACACGGTTCAGAATATACACATGTACTTGACGCTGTTCTAAAATCGTTTGATGAAATTACGAATTTAAAAAAAAAAAAACAAAACAAAACAAACTTTAGGCCCAGTGAACATTTTCATCTAGATTTTGACTTTTCTTTCAATCACTTTGGATTTCTCTCAGTTACCTCTCGTAGCGTCACTGACGAGTCCTGGAAGGAGGAAACATATGTAAGATACAGCTTAATTGCTTGTTTAACTCTACTTTATCTCACTCTAAATCTATTTAAAATATGCTAATCACTTGTGTGTCATTTGTACATTCTTTCTTAAATTCTTTGATTCGAGTGAATCACTACACTGGTATCAACAACTGTTACCTAACTTTTCTCTTAAAGATACGTAATTGTATCTTTTTCTTAAAATCTCCCAACTAAAGAGTAGCATGTTATAGAAGTACATATATAAAAAAAGTTATAGACAGCAGATAACGTGCAGCGCAGGAAGTATTGGGGGAGTATATCTTGGTTTAAAAAGTTGAATGTAGGGCATCATAACTTATGTAGAAACTCTTCATTTAGATATAATACATGTGAGGATTAATTGGAAGACAATTGCTTGCTTTTATTTGTTTAGATAATTTTGTATATTTTGTTTTCAGAAACAGGCGGAAAAAATGGGTTCGTCGTGTCTGGTTTAAACATCTGTTTAAAAAGTCAAATACTTGACTATGTTCAAAATATCTTGACAAAAGTATCAGATATAGTTAACATCGGGATATAAAACTTTGCAGTTCTATTGAGTACTTAAGCAGGTGTCAATGTTACATTTGTTATACATTTAGACGGCGGTTGTTACTTATCATGGTAGTAATTTGAATCCCTATTGACATTTGGTTTTATCCGAAACTGATAAGTAGAACCAGTATGTCATATAGATAAAGCTATATTTGATGTACACATGGCTGGTATAGAGCGGGATATAGTCTCGGTGCTGTTACTTCTCAACCGATCTCTGTATAATAACATCGATTATTTGGGGTTGTTTTGTTCTCCGTATCTCTAAGAAAAACAGATCACCTAAGAAAGTACAACGCAGTGTTTTTTCAGTTCTTCAAAACTCTTTGAAACAAGATGTATTCCCGTTAATGCTTTATGGGCCCTTTGAACCGAGAAATTAGATTTTCACACCAGAGTACTGAACGAATTCCTTGTAAATGTTACTTGATTTGTTTGTCACCTATGACCTTTTGACGCACACTCTCAATAGGTTGTAAGGTGTGTGCTTAATATCAGACCGATAAGAGATGATCCTACTGTTCTGAAAATCTGATATAATAATTATCTCAGCAGGGAAAGAACGTTTCAACAAAAACAGCTTCTGTATTTATTTTAAGACACAAACTTGCATAGTATATAAATATATAAGTAACATGCATTCCAATAAACGTAAGTACAATGTCAAATAGCAAAATGTGTTCTGACGGGTTGTTTATGTTTCATATAATGTAGAAATACCATGACTAGCAACCGGATATACACTGTGCCCATGACATAACACACTCATGTCTATCTGCTTAATATATATATCAACATTATATAAACACTAGAATCATCCATAATCTAATTTCTAAAAATAGCTCAACTGTATTTGCCCAGCCGTAAATTGCATTAATGAACATATAGGCATAGATCAAAATAAACCATATTTTTTATTTACTCAATTACGACGTTAGTTTTGATACATGTAAATATTTAAAAAAATATTTACACAAAATATATTTTGTATGAAAAAATAAATGCAAAGTCTTCTTTATTTTCAGCAAGATCTTCATTGAAACATTGGAAAGAACATTTATAAACGAACTGAAAAGTTTATCGCTATACATCCGAACATTTATGTGCCCAGAATAATGAAGTGACTGTTAAGTAAAATAAACACAAAAACACAAGAAATATCAAAAGCATTACATATACTAAGCAACACATGATATCAGATTTTTTGAACATTTCTCACCAGTCAGTACAATTTTATGTAGCCAATAATACAGATTATTTTGAACCAATAAATAAAAAAGTCGCCGGTGGGCATATTAATAATCAGACTTTGTTATCCTTATTTCCGAAACACTTTGTTATGCTAATGCTGCCCGAACTCAGGAAGAAATACTCAAAAGGTGTGACAAAAATGCTTAAGAACGTTAATACTATCACTACTTATACAATATGATTGTTTCGGTTTCGAAATTCAGAATCCATTTTAAAATGAAACTAATACACAAGGTGAATTTGTACTATGTCTATCTATCGAGGGATTTCCATTTTCATAGCTGATGTTCAGCCTACCCCACACCTAATTACCATGTCATTCTTGTGGATTTGATAAATTAATTAGTAAAAGGTGTATTCATTTGATCCCGTTAAATATAAAAATATATGTGATATACAAAACGTTATCGACAGTCGAGCTTTCAATATGTTAAGAGTCACTATCGGTAAAATCGTCTCTGGAAAGTACCAATTTTACAAGGCGCCTGTGGATAGCATCCCACCGTTTAAACCTTTAACATTCAAGTATTAAACACTGAAGTGAAATCACCAGTATACTAACAGGTTCGTGTAACATGTTCGGTTGCGAGCATCGACACCGACTTGGCATGAGAGATTCGCCATGTAAACAAACACCCACTTAAACGGGGTGAAGATATAACAGTAAAACGCTACATGCCAAACATCTGTGTAGGAAAAATATATCCATACTACACAGATAATACAGATAGCTGTATATCAACATGCTGATAAATACTATATCAGTTACACAGGGGCGAAAGACCTTAAAATTTAGTGTATTGACAAGTTTTCATAGCGTTCCAATGATGAAGTAGATTTTAAAATTCCACCTTTCCTTCAGCGTCCTTATCAGGTACACTCGCGTTCGGTAGATTCATTAGGTCAACGCCCTCTTGTTGCTGGTATTAATTGGTAGTTATCACAGAACGACTTCCCACTCAACTACCTGTATATAATCTACATCTATTAAATCAAAACAAAGAGTTGGTTACCCTTCAGTTTAGCGTCGGAAACGCATTCCATCAAAACAGACATGAGGCTGCTAACAGGCACTGACTGATTGACTCCTCCAGCCGAGTTAACACGTTAAGAATTCAAGAATAATCATCCAGCATCACTGGTATATATTTCAACAGTATTGAAAATATACCCGACATCCTTTTTCCTCATAAACATGATTTTGCGAGTAGCCTTACACCACGAATCCATCCATTTCCCTTTTTGATATCTAATGATCTCGGGCTTCCCGCATTCATTATTCGTTGGTACATCAGTTGGGAAATTGGAGACGACTATATTATATATTTCATGTAGTAATCCTCGGTGAAGATTCGTACCTATGACCAGGTATCTCGTTAAAGTGAAACCATTATCTAATGGTATTCAACATTACCAATCATATATGTTGAAATGCGTTTATTTATCGTAACGTTAGAAGTCTAAAGACCTTTTTGAAACTGTTGAGATTTATAATTCTAGGTTATCTGAAACATATGGTATAGACTATGACATTTTAATCTTTCGTGACAATATAAAAATTTAAGATTTTTAGCATTTGTCTTTTACCTTTTATTTTGCTTGATGTTATTTCCTTTTTTTGATCGCTGTGTGTTTCACTGGTTGATGGCCCGTGTTGACGGGCCGTTAAGTTTGTAATAATGATAATAATAATACCTCCAATTTCAGTAACATCGACATCCATATGGGAAAAATGAAATATCGAAAGTCATACATCTAAGCTTTTGATCAGCAGGAACGTATAAAAATGCGAATTTTAAATATCATCAAACTGTAGGTTAAGTTATAAAAAGAAACCGACATTTCAAGAAGCAAATTAACACATTCCATTGGTGAAATAACGTCTTTTTCATGCACATCAAACAATCTGTGATGACGTCACGTGTGATGATATTAAAGTCACAACAGCATAATTCTACGTCTAATTGATTTAGGAAAACTGTTGTTTTTTTAATTGAAAATGTCTGCACTACAGCAATCTAATATAATACAAGATTCTGATATTACATAACAACAATATCACGTTTAGTTCTCTATTTAAACAGCGACCTTGAGACAAGTACGATCGAAAGGCGAGGTAAAATCGAAGTGTCACGCTTGTTGCACACAAGTAACTTAATCTGAAAATTTTCGATTCCTGTTGTTTTATTAAAATCCTTAGAGATATAATTTTAAACCCTTTTATCTAAATTCACACAGAACCTCTCCTTCAACACTCCCCTACCCTACACCGGCTGTTATCTTTTCTCCTGCAATTACTGAAGTATTCTTATATATCGTATTTGTAAACATAGACATATTATTGTTTCATATGTGCCAGTATTTATACATCAAACACATAAAATATCACACAAATAGAAATATCCGTGATTCTGAATCTTTTAAGCAAGAAATCATAAAATCTTATCTTTGTGTAAAAATATATATATAAATTTTCAACAGAATCACAGACAAAAGTGGACGGATTGACGTGTGATTAAAAACTTTTGTAGCTTAGGTAATTAATATAATTAATATAATTATCCTATCTCGTGAACATAATGAATACATCACTCAGTGAAATCATGCACCTATATTTACCCTAAAAATGCATAGACACAGCAAGTATGTCAATTAGCAGTCAAACAATAACAAATCCTGCCTAGATTTTAAAATCAATAGATAAAAGCAGCAACAAGCATGCACACGTGTTCTATCAGTTGTTCACTCACTCCCTCACGTGTATTAAAACTATAAATCTATCTTTCTTTCTTCTCTTCTAGATTTGTTTGGTTTTTAGCACCTGTCTCTGCCTGTTCTCCATTGACCCTCACAGGGTTCACTTCTGATGTAGGCTCTTCATCAGAAACGTCGGGCTCTTCGTCTAAGTCGCATAAACGTAAGCTCTTATTCCAGAGTTGCCGCCCTTTAGCTTTATCCTTTACAAAATCCTTCGTTTTCAATGGTTTACAGTTCTCAAACATTTTCCCGGACTGATCTCTGATGCCTTCTGCGACTGCGCAGTAGACGATTGTCTGACAACCTTCCTCGGGAGTCTTGAAGAGAAACCTTGCTGCTGCGCGTAATACCTGTCCAAATAGCCCCGGCCAGTTCCTCAGCAGTTCCGTATGAACACAGCCTGGAACAGGATATTGAAGCAAATTAAATAACTATGTGTGGTCTCGGTAAAACGTTTTCATGCACTAGACTTATCTGCGGATGTATCAGTAAGCTATTAAATACCAGAGATGAGGAAAGAGGCATTTTGGAAAATTCATTATTCATATGATTAAATACATATGTATGGTTAATGCACTACAACCGTTTCTACAGCCGGGACGTAATTGCTTTTTCATCTTTTACATATGATTCAAATAATTTGATTCTACAAGATTTAATATATTTTAAATTGTATTCAATACCAGAAATCTGGTCAAATTAAGTACTTATAAGCATATAATAAACAATGGGAGGATGTCTTGTATACTTTTATGTATGTTTTATGACAATGTGAAAACATAAACATTTCCTTCATATTCGTGTAATTATGATTAAATAAAAAAAAATATTGATGCGAATATCAGGAGATATCTTTTCAAACAAACAATCAGATATTATATAGCCATGTAAATTCCAGAGAAGTATAGCTTTAAAGATGTTCTGATGCCGTCCCATTTTAATAGGGATGTTTTATAGATCATAAATAATGGTCATTAGATAGAAATACCTGGATGTACAGCGTAGGCAAGTACGACATCCGGGAACCAGCATCTATGCGCCTCAACTGTAAACTGCGCTATTGCCAGCTTACTGCGCGCATATGCGCCATAAATATCGTAGTTCTTCATCGCCAGGTCTTCAAATTCGATCTTGCCTTTGGTATAGGAGTCCGAACATACATTGACAATACGACTTGGAGCACACTTCTTCAGTCTGTCTTTCAGAAGATAGGTCAGGTAGAAATGACCCAGATAGTTAACTCCGAAACTTCTCTCATATCCGTCCTCTGTCGTAGCTCGCGGCCCCATGTAAGCTAAAGAAAAAGTATGTATCACTTTTATATATATTAACAACAAAGAATCATCGATGACAAAAACTTCCCGAGTATGATTTTTCTCACCTTTATTTTGTTTGAATACATTGGCGAAAACAAAGACCGTAATATTGTCTTACAACATCAGTACTGCATTGCTGGATTGTAAGGTCTTTAGCATAACGATTGCAAGGCTTGTTATTTGAAATAAGAAAAATGTACTTAAGATATGACAAAAAGCAACTATAACAAAGTGTTAACCACTGGTTAGATTACTGGTTGATTATTTAAAAACGGTATTTCATTTAGTTATTATATCATGTATATAATCAAGGAAATCTTGAGTGTTTTTAGTTTTATCTAGATAAATTATCTAATTATCAGTATCATTCTATAAAGGTATCAATATCATTGGCTTAAAACATCCACCTGCTTGTTTAAATTTAATATATCTGTACTTGTTATCATCGTAATGTGGTCCTGTGTTTGTACTCACCAGCGTTATTAATGAGGATGTCCAATTTTGGTTCCTTTTCCTGGAAGTCCTGTGCGAATTCCTTGACGGTGCGCAAACTTCCTAGATCCATGTAGGATGCGTACACGTCATCATTATGTGTCTTCAAACGTATCGCCCTTGCAACTGCTTCTGCCTTCTTCAGGTTCCGACAGGCAAGGATGACCTTGGCCCCTCTTTTGGCTAATTCGTACGCTGTGGATTTGCCTAGTCCACCGGATGCTCCTGTGAAAATATAACAGCATGTTATGATGATTTGGTCATAGTTAGCATAAAATATAATAACTTCTTATTTCTAATATTACGAAATGGGTGATCGATGGTTGCGCTGTAATAACGTACAAGCCTTTCATCTAGAAGTGAAAAGGTAAGGGGTATAATTCCCCTTGTTATCCGACTTCCTTCCACAAAAAGATCCCTCTCGCACTTCCATCCAAAAGACAAAGAATTGAACACCACATTTCAATGCAAATTAAGTAATGGTAAAAACGTAATACCGATTAATGTATTATACTGAGTCAAATAGCCCTTTCGCCTTACTAAGATGTGTTACTAATGCTTGTGGTGTTGAAACTTTAAAGATGAAAATCAATATTTTGGGAAACAAATGTTGAAATAAAGACGATGATATGCACTTACCACAATAATTTAAGAAATATGATAGGATTTTTTTCAATATCAAAACGAAAATACCAACAAGTAAGCGAAAAGAAAAAAACACTTAAAATACAGGAAACGAGGTCAAAGTTTTAATGATAGAAAGATGTACAAGAATACCTTTCAAAACGTACAAATACAATGAAACCAGATAATATGTATGGCGTACCATCATCTGATTTATAGACGACACGTGCTATGTTAATCTTGCCCAAGGTAAGGAATTTCACTTCTTCACATGCGAACAATATTGACAATGGAACCAGCATGTATAGTATCGGCCAACGGGGATATAAAACATTTCACGAAGACATCAGCGACAAAAAAAATAATAATGAAAAAGCCCACCCAATAGTCTTCATTAACCTGGATCTCTCTAATGTCTCTGTGTTGAACTTATCTGATGCTGTGGCAATAAAAAAAACATCCAGAAAATAATAACTTGACACTAAAATCATTATCTAAACTCAAACACCATAAAACCAGGGCAAAATAGGAACAAAACATTTACAGGAAACTCCTGAAAAAAAACCAAGAAGAATAAGACCAGGTGTTCCGGAAGAGTGTTCCGTCTTCAGCTATGTAAACCTTGGTCAATCCAAGTAAGTAATATCACGTTTCAAATGAGAACAAGGTGTACAACAACGGAACCAACAGTCGAACTAACGAACATCAAATACGTCCAGAATCATGTCACACAAAAATAGAATACTTTTCTATGACATTACTTCGGCGACTATAAAACTTTCCCATCAACCTGCATCTTTTGAACGAAAGTCGTGATATTGCGAGTTTCGAATCGGCTGCAAAATTCAAACACAACTTTATGAAGCCGGAGTATTACTCTATCGCGATAAAATGTTCACTACAGAGAAATCAAAGTGATCATCCTTGTCATAAAGCTAACCCCTGTTGGTAAAGCTAACCCCTGTTGGTAAAGCTAACCCCTGCTGGTAAATCTAACCCCTGTTGGTAAGGCTAACCCCTGTTGGTAAATCTAACCCATGTTGGTAAATCTAACCCATGTTGGTAAATCTAACCCCTGCTGGTAAATCTAACCCCTGTTGGTAAAGCTAACCCCTGTTGGTAAATCTAACCCCTGTTGGTAAAGCTAACCCCTGTTGGTACATCTAACCCATGTTGGTAAATCTAACCCATGTTGGTAAATCTAACCCCTGCTGGTAAATCTAACCCCTGTTGGTAAAGCTAACCCCTGTTGGTAAATCTAACCCCTGTTGGTAAAGCTAACCCCTGTTGGTAAAACTAACCCCTGTTGGTAAAACTAAACCCTGTTGGTAAAGCTAACCCCTGCTGGTAAATCTAACCCCTGTTGGTAAATCTAACCCCTGTTGGTAAGGCTAACCCCTGTTGGTAAAGCTAACCCCTGTTGGTAAAGCTAACCCCTGTTGGTAAGGCTAACCCCTGTTGGTAAAGCTAAACCCTGTTGGTAAATCTAACCCCTGTTGGTAAAGCTAACCCCTGTTGGTAAGGATAACCCCTGTTGGTAAAGCTAGTCTCTGTATGTAAAGCTAACCCTGTTGGTAAGGCTAACCTCTGTATGTAAAGCTAACCCCTGTTGGTAAGGCTAACCCCTGTTGGTAAAGCTAACCCCTGTTGGTAAAGCTAACCCCTGTTGGTAAGGCTAACCCCTGTTGGTAAGGCTAACCCCTGTTGGTAAATCTAACCCCTGTTGGTAAAGCTAACCCCTGTTGGTAAGGATAACCCCTGTTGGTAAAGCTAGTCTCTGTATGTAAAGCTAACCCTGTTGGTAAGGCTAACCTCTGTATGTAAAGCTAACCCCTGTTGGTAAGGCTAACCCCTGTTGGTAAATCTAACCCCTGTTGGTAAGGCTAACCCCTGTTGGTAAAGCTAACCCCTGTTGGTAAAACTAACCCCTGCTGGTAAATCTAACCCCTGTTGGTAAAGCTAACCCCTATTGGTAAAGCTAACCCCTGTTGGTACATCTAACCCCTGTTGGTAAAGCTAACCCCTATTGGTAAAGCTAACCCCTGTTGGTAAATCTAACCCCTGTTGGTAAAACTAACCCCTGTTGATAAAACTAACCTCTGTTGGTAAAACTAGCTCCTGTTGGTAAATCTAACCCTTGTTGGTAATGCTAACCCCTGTTGGTAACGACAGCTAGACCAGAGGCTTCTGTGTCCTTGATTTTAAATAGGTATTTCCGATGGCTGTAGTCAATAAATTTCTTGTTACTTAACACATGTAGAAGATCTAACAGTGAAAGTTTGATATTGAATGACTTGGCAAGGTGTCCTATATTGATAAGCTGTTTTATAAATTCAGATATTTATGAAACAAAGCAAGTCAACACAAGAAGAGTACATTTTGCCCCTGTGGATATGCCGCTAGGCTGTTGGAAGCTCTTACCACAAAAACAATGAAGATATTGCCAAAATCAAAGCTTTAAATTTCATCTTTAGTATATTACTTCTTGGCTTTTGAAGCATTTTTAAAGAAATAAGGTGCAAAATAGTTCAAGCTTTATATATGTATATTAGAGGTAGTTACAGTACATATGGTGACGTATAATCCACAACCTTACGTGTATCGTCTTTCACGCCTTTGAAAAGAAAACTCTCATATCCATAATCATAACTAAATTGTAATTGATATAAAACCATGACTAAGCTGTAATTCATTTTTTTTTTCAAAATTAAATTCCTTTGATATTACGATTTATATATATCATACGCTGACTTAATTACCAGTGAGAGGCCTGCCATATATATGTGTATCGGACGTTAAGACGGCTAGATAGGAATTTATGAATGAACCAAGCCTAGCCTCACATTTGCAGCGCTTTCATGTAACTTTTTATTTGAAAAACCTTCTATTTTAATAATTTTAAAAAGCTTTTTAAATATCAGATCAATATTCTACAACTGTCATGCTCCCAGGTCGAAAGATGATGTCTGTTTGTCTGTTGTCAAGAATAACTTTGCCAATAACTATTGTACCGTTAGAGGTATGACCTTCATATGTGACATGTGCGTTCTTTGTGAGAGGACCTTTCCTGTGGTACGAAATTTATTGACCATACGACCTTGACTATGACCTTTGATCTACAATTGAAAAATTTTAACTTTTGCCATAACTATCTGTGACCAAGTATCAAACAAAGCGTAGCCGAATTGACCACAGTATATTGTTACCATATGGTGTATAGTTTTGTCTATAATCTGTTTACCATCTCGTCACACTTGGAGTACATGGGATTCAAGTACAGCCGAAAAAACTGGTCGGTTCCGTACCGTTTCGTAGTCTACGTACGTCGGTACTAGGAGGTCTCACACTGGTCATTTGTTTGATGAAGGTGATCGTGTAGTCATCGAATCGGCACACTGCAATTATCAACTGGTTGTGTTATAAGGACTTCTAAACTACACCTTTTTTATGTTGATATGTGTCTTAAACCTTCCTTACTGAGTCAAGTGTCTTCTTTCGACTACGATCAACTTTATCAATAAATATTATGTGTCGAATCATACAGGGTGTCAGTATACACAGTTATAACGTTAGTGATTGTGTAAAACTAGTGCATTAAAGCAGCCAAGTTACACTGAAACTATTATGTATATCTTGTATCTAAATTCTGTAATGAGAAGACAATCTAAGAAAATAAACAAATTCCTTGCATGATTGGGATTATAAGATAAATATTTATATACATCATGATGGTACGTTTTTGTAGAAGTAAAATATATCTTCAGTTGAAAAAAGTCATCAGTATATACTAATTTTACACTCCATTTGATTCCCTCGGCAGTGTTGTTTTCATATGTGAGTGTTACAAACAAACTAACTAATATCAACATAACTGTATGGAACAGAGCATAACCGTTACTATTTTTATCCTAATGTTTATGATAATATTCTATAGATATGTTAAACAATGAAGGTGCTCTCTGCATAATCTACATATTTCCTAAACGAGGCTGTAAAAGTACTATAAAATCATTATTTTTTGCGAGGGATTTTTTTTATTGACTTCGTGGGTAACCTGAATTCACAAATTCATATGTACACGAACTGTTAGATAAGTATATTTAGTGCACTATATTCATCCACAAAATTGAGAGTCCACGAAGAAGATTTTTGTTTGTTTTTTTTGGGTTTTTTTTTTTTTTTTTGTAAAACCGCGAAAATTCAGCACCACGAATATAAAATTATCAAATAGTATATATATGTTTATGCTTGAACACTGCGCGTATCCCATTCCTATCACAATAACAAAGTAAATAAGAAAGTTAAACATAGATTGCTAATGTTTCTTTGTTTCAGCGTTTTAACTGTTTCGTTGTCGATTTTTTTTTAAAAAAATTTATACATGACTAGATTGCTGAATTTCTACAGAAACATTTCTACAGTGATACGTTTAAACACTGTGTGTAATTTTACATTTATACAATTTTACATGTATACAATTTTACATTTATATATTAATACATAAATACATATTCGTTTTAACAATATTACATTTATACAATTCAAAGTCTACATGACATGAAATTCGATCGTTGTACATGTCTAGCTGCCTGCAAAATCACACACTGATATCCAAGAATACTAGAGTAAACACCCTATATCATCTATATAAAAAAAACATGTCTTGACCCTCGTTCCTGTTTCGTAATAAGTCTACCAAACGAGAGTTAGGACCAAGATATGTCTTTGTAATACACAACATATAGAGAATCCAGATAAAATAACACACGATAAACTATGGATATATTAGTGTACGGGATCTAATTATGATACTCATTTAAGGCGATTTTGATCTCCCTTGGTCGACCCTAGAAACACTGAATGACGAAAAAGAGTCATCAAAAAGTGCACATGTGAATTACTCTACCGTGCTCGAACTAAAATCCGAAAAATGGTGTGATCATTTAATAATGGAGGAATTCGATGTGTTCAGCTAAATATTCCAGACATTTAGCGCTTTTTGCTATTATATCGTTTTACTTTATTCATAATTATATCAAGTAAGGGCTGGAAAACTGTTGAATATTCTACTAATAAGTGTCACATCCTCATTAGTATTCATCGTTTCGTTTCACTTATTTTCTTATTTCTCACAACAACGTTGACCTTTAAGGTCGGCGAAACAATATCTACATATGTATGTTAATTATATACGCCAAAGCTATGTCTGAATAGCATCAGAAAAAACTACTTAAGTATGGAGAGTTTATGAATTTGAGGTCGACCAGGCACGCTGGCTATCATTTAAGTTCACATTGTTTTCTTCATAAAACGTATCATAGGGTTATAGATCGACCAACCATTGAAATTACTAATATATTAAACCATTATGCTCCCTAGTTTAACTCTGCTACTTAAAACGTGTGACACAAAATTGCGAACTTACATATTAAAACGGACAATTCATCGACGAAAACGATATACAAATGTACTAAATATCCTGATTTTGTTTCTCAAAGTAGCATGTTTCAAAAGATTTAAGAGAAAGAAGTCAACAAATCCCGATGACATAGATACGGATATAAGATAATATTAACCACAGCAATACTATTGCATTTTTGTTTATTTCTTGTATTTTTTTACGTTCATATGATTTTTGAGGCTGAAATCAAGATACCTTAACTAAATATCACTTTTCTTATGACGTCACAAGGCCTTTGACATTGTGAATCTGTGACAACAAAATCTAAAATAAAGTAGGATTCTCAACCGATCAAACTAGTCATTAGATATTATCAAAGATTTACAAAAGACAAATATCTTAATTAGCAACGGTTTAAGTAAGATTTAGATACCAAAACTATATACTTAATTCAGAATATTTTAATGCGAATGTTAATGGCTGGAAAACATGACAGTTACATGATCATTTTAAATATCGTTCAATTGTTCCTATTTTTCTGTACTTTGTAGCGAACAAACGTAATGCAGACTTCTGATGTGTTCTGTTATAATCTGGTAATGGCGTCATGGTGACGTCATTAGCATATGTGCTTATGACGCTATATAACGCACTGGAACGTACCTTCGGTAATGTGACATACCTGTGAAAAATACGTGACATTGAGGTGAACATACATGGAATCACGTCACATCTGTAGTGCGAGCACGTCACGCATGAGGCGAAGGTACTTAGTAGTATTTATGTGACACATTTGTAATTATGACGTCATACCGGGGATGAAAGTACATGTCATCGTGATGCTATACCTGTGTTAAAAACACTTGTTATTGTTACGCCACATCCCAAAGGAGGCGAGAAGTGATAATGATGTTACATCTCTGGCTAAAGCGCCTGCTATCTAATGACCTCATCACAGCTAGATAAGGACAATTGTGACAATGACGTCATATCAATGATAAGGGCACCTGTGATGACATAGTAATGACGTCACACGTGTGACGGGCCTATTCCTACACATGCGTTGATCATACCTGTGACGATGACTGTTTTACCGTTGAGCTGACGCGAGCTCTGACAAGGGACGGTCCATCGCAGATAACGTCTCCAAAAGAAAACCAACAGAAGAAAGAACGAAATGACCACCGGTAACAATAGAAGGGTGGAATGGCTCTGAATCACCTCCTTCATTTCCAGTCGGATCTGTCTCCATAGTTCCTTGGAACTTGTCATATTCCTAACCCCTACAGACGGCTCCATGTCAAATTTCCTTATTCACACAAGTTAAAAACGTGCCATATTGTTAAAGTTTTTTTATCGAAATGTTGAGTATAAGATTGAGGAGGGTCACATTCGTGGCTACTTGTGTGTTGTCCGAACGTACATTGGCACTTCAGAGGAGAATTTCTGTATCAATCATGTTACGTTGATGACTCTACCGTCTGCTTCACCGATCTCGAGCCTACCCCCTCCTCGTATGGTTCGTGTTGTATAATATTACTCCACACAACAGCAGACCGACACGGCCCGTGTGGCGGAGTCTTATCTTTATTACGAGTAAATTGAACCTCCTTTCCTGTTCCTCCGGTGTATCGTAGTAGAAGTTCAAAACAGCAGGTACATCTGATACACAGCACAGCATACGTTACTGTTGGTACTGTTCAACGAACGAACAACATTAATTTTTTATGCTAAAGACTAAATATTTGTTATTAATTGTACAAGTTACAGGACAGACTAACAAACGGAATTTCTTACATATCTATATCCCCCTTAATTACCTATATATATGTACCCTATACAGACGGATAGACAGACATGCCTGTCTGCCTTCAGAAAAGGCGGACAGGCAGACAAGCATGTATGTCTACATACATACATGTATACATACATACATAAAATCCTCATGAAAGGATCCCTTTAAAAAAGTGATTATCCTAATTACTCTAGGTGGGGATCTGAGATGGAAAAAAATGTTGGCTGCACAAGACATTTAATACGAAGCCATGCGCATACGCGTTTATTATTGATGTCTGACATTAAGCTTGGAGAACTTTATCACATTCAGATAGGTCCCAGGGACGAAGTATGCCTGTGAGTCTGTACAGAAAACGTGCTTTTCACATCTCCTGCAATACACACACTCATTGGCACTACTTTCATTTTCCATCGCGCACTTTTAAAAAATCACATTGTCTGTGCAGTGCGCATGTTTTTCTCGTCAGAAGTTCAAAGGTTATCGAACGTTCTGACGCCGCTGTCTTATGTATAACCACTCAACCTTAATACAATGCGTGTTACCGTCGGTAGTGTATATAAATCTTAATGCCTATGTGCAGGGTTTCTTTTTTTGATATTTATGAGAGAGAGAGAGAGAGAGAGAGAGAGAGACATTCAGTCAAACCGCTTGCTTTGGCATTTGATTTTGAACTCACTTTCTTTGTGAAGATATTATCTTTGCTCAATCTCTATATATGAGTAATTCTAAAGTCAATTTTTGTTATACCTAATATATGCAACTTGCATTGCATAGAAAAATCCGCCACCATTGACAAATATTAACTGGCAGGGGGCAAAGGATTTAACGAAATCGTAGTTTAGATTTGGCCTACCTTCTTATGAAACAGAGGGTAATTAATTAGTTTAGTTACACGATTCTTGAAATAAAAGTCAAATACAGAAAAAAAGTATATGTCATGACATTTGTATATTAGTGAAGAATTCTTCTAGTAGTCTCACATCAAATTCAATGAAACCAATAAAACACGTGTTTTTAAAAATAACAAACTTCGTAGCAATATTTTCTCGAAAAAGTTGAAATATGGTGAGATATTGAAGCTAATTGGTTCTGATATAGCGGATCTGTTTTACATACGTTCAATACACCAACCCCATGATGCATAAAGATATAATGTAAAAATGATTACATACGATTAGTTAAACGGATGTGAAGGCCGAAATTTATTACCATAATTTACAAAATGTACTATCTGACTTAAACTTACGTTCTGATTCGTTGATATTCTTAAAATCATTGTATATTGAATTGATTAGGTTTGAAGCACCGCGATTAAGTTTTTCCTTATTGTATATATATATATATAAACAAAACCGTGATTAAAGAAGCAAAGTGTGATTTTTCTGTCAAGCTTTGGTTGTCACATAAACAATGCTCCCGAAAGTAGTGTTCATCTTATCCTTTTTAATATAAACGTTGTTAGGTCCGTTACGGTCTGATGAGTTTTGACCACTCTTGCGTTTCATAGTAAGTGCATGTTAACCGTGTCTTTATTCTGTTATATTTGGTAATGAATTCCTGTTATTTTCTGTGTAGAGATTCCATTGAGTATTAATATCAAAGTACGTATGGTCGGATTTTGGGCAAATTGATAGAATCTTCAAAAAATAACAAGTTTAGTCGTAAACTGTATCAGATAACTAATTATTATAATACACAGTGGTCTAATTGTATCAAAACATCTTTGAAGAATGTGATTTACTTAATATCTTCGAATTCCAACAAGTCATTTATATACCTTGCCAGAAAAAAATGATCTTCCTTACTTACAAAAATACTTTCATTTATTTGGAAAAAGGATGTTTTCAATACCCAAAAAGGGACAAATGATAGAATTTACAAACATGAACTGGTTCTAGAGAAATATTTGCTGGATCTCCTCCCCAGATTGTATAAGGTTTATTGTAAATTTAGAACTTGTAATTCAAAATTAGCTGTTGAAATCGGCAGATGGAATAATGTACCTAGAGAGAATAGAATTTGTAACCTTTGAAATATTCATCAACTTTGAGATGAGTTTCATTATTTATTTAATTGTAGTGACCAACAAATATTAGTTAATAGAAAGAAAGAAATATAGATATTATTTCGAAAGACCCAGTACATTTAAATTTATCACTTTATTTAATTATGTTACTAATGATGAATTGATATCACGTAAAATTTATTAAGATAATTAATGATCGATTTAATTCGGACAACTAATGTCATTTGTACTAATGTGATGTAGTTGTGGTATTGCATATGTCCTACTTACACTTGTATTTAAATTCTCTACACTGCTTTGGTGTATGTGATTCCAACAGGGTCTTTTAATCCGTTTTTTTTTTATTTTTTAATTAATTGGTGTCGATTTGTTGAATAACCTCGGACCCCTTTGTATGAATATTACGGTTATGTTACACATTCCAACATTGTCATACAGTATCACATATGATAAATATTATATTGTAGGATGGCTGTTTCTGTATAATTATGTGAAATTGTAATATATAAATAAAACAGAATAAAAACATTAAATTATTGTAAAGGTAATCACAAGATTCACTTTTTCCCTCTTCGTCTTATTTGGAGTAAAATCGTATTTTCAATGGGTCCAAATCTCATGATTTTAAAAAAATCGTTGGCACTTAATTTCGTTGATAAATCTAGCTCACGAAATTTAACAGTACTATGGTCAAAGTCACTATTTATCTAATCATAACTTCATGTTCATCAATTCCGAACATCCCCACGTCCCCAACCTTTGATGTTTACATGTCGCAGTTGATTCGATCTGCTAGGGCCTGTTCCTATTATCATGATTTTCGCCAAATGACGAACAAATTCGTAACACAAAGTTGCGAAAGATGCATACTGATAAAAATTATGAGGAAGTTTTATGGTTGTCATAGTGATCTGATTGAGAAATATTCTATTTCTTTGTGTGATGAGAAACTGGACGAGTTTAATGCTCGTTAGTTTGCCTGTTGGTTTCGTTGTTTTATACCTAGATCTCATTTGAGAATGTGACATTACTTACTCGGATTGACCAATGCTGTCGATGAAGCAGATGGCGCTTACTCTTCCGGAACACATGGTCTTATTCTCATTGTACTTTTCAGGAGTCTTCTTTCTTTTGTTCATGTTTTGCCCTAGTTTTATAGACTCTGAGTTTGGATTATGTCTATGTTGACATGTTCGTATTTTCTTGTTTTTCATAGACAAAGAAATTCATGGATTAAGAGTAGTCAGGAAGTCAACATAAATGTACGGTATGCTGTGTTTTATTCAGAAGTACGTATCCCTGATAGCTTTAAAACTACCAACTTAACAGTGCTTTTGACAGCAAATATTTATATATAGACATACTGTGTCTCTGAAACTAGAGATTGGTGTTACTATCATCACCTAGTTAGACAAATAGTTGGCCAATTTATAATTATAGATATGAGAACGAGGTGTTATCGTCTTTAAACCCTACGCCTCTTTGCATTTTTTAAAAAGATTTGCGTGATAAAACATTGACTTATCAACAAGAGCGATGTTCAAAGTATCTACACCGTGGGTATCATATCTAGTGTCCGCATATTTAACAATGTACAGTACCATGTGATGAAGCTGTATGTTTGTATGTTAGATAGGCGAGTTGATATCAACCTTACAACTAAATCAAAATAAACAGATCAATTGAAATAGTAACAGAACTTATTTTTAGTTAATATCAGCAGCGCGTTTTATAAGTTAAGATACTTATATCTCAATAGAAGAGACTAGAGAGTTGTGAAAATTGGAAAAATGTCTCGACAAAGAATCTTACGATGACAAGAGAACAGAAAATAGGGTCGTCACCAGCTTCATCAACTGCCAAATAAATGTAGGTTTATCAAAGTAATTTCACGTTATCAAAATAAGAGCACTGTAAAAACAAATTGAACTGTTTTTAGGAATGTGTTCACGTGTGAAGTGTTGTTTATAAATCCAGAGTTCCTGAAGGGTAAGCGTCTTCTACTTCATCTCCGCCATTGATCAATCCGAGTAAGTAATGTCATGTTTCCAATAAATAATGTGTTTTTGGATAAGGAACGTTATCCTTAATCCTCTTGATGATATGTGTCGCGCCTCCTGTATGTTGTTCAGTGATGATATCACCAGCTGCTACAACGGGATCCCGACTGAAATTATTCTTGCTATCGAGGTGAACACCTGGCAAACTAACACACCCAAATGAAAACAATGTTAACAAAGACGAACATACAATGCATGCTAATGAGCATCAAACACATCTTACTTCAAATTGAAAAAATGAACTAGAATAGTTCACAATGAAGTCATTAAGACGACCATGAAACTTCTCTGTAATGAACCCGCGTAAACCTGCATCTCTTGAAACCCGGTTTTGGGAGTTTATCTACCACTTGCACGAAAATCATTTGTATATATATAACAAGCCCTAAATATCAAATTACTGCATACACCATTGGCTGGGTAAGCATCTAAAATCGTGTTCCTTTTTTCAAAATTTTATCAGCATTTCTCATGAATATATTTACCTCATAACGGCGCCATTTTATCGTGTTTATTTCTAGACTTATAAATCACATCTTTCTGCTTAGTATTAGCCCAGTGTTGTTATACCAACACATGTCACGTGTGACAAAAAAGGTATCAAACATTCCATATATTTGTTTCACAAATAGAATTATTTGTACCTGAAAGTTCTGTATATTGGAAACTATACACAGGCGTTTAATGTATCGCTCTCGCACAAATTACACAACTTAGATTGCGTTGCATGCGATTAAATTTGCATTCAAACGATCAATATTTGCATAAAATGTGCATTCAAACGTTCAATATTTGCATAAAATTTGCATTCAAACGTTCAATATTTGCATAAAATTTGCATTCAAAATAAATTTGATCCCAAATATATCATGTAGAACATATCTACTACCCCATGTATGACATGTAATACGTGTTTTGTATCACAGAGTGCCTTACATAACTAATTTGTCAGATGTTTCTATTCAGTTTGTAATGATATAAGGGATAATTCAACACACGTTGACGAAAGACTTTTCGGCCCGACCGAAAATTAAACTTCAAGATCAGTCCCATTTTGAAATCATATTTTCTTTTTTTAAATTCTTTTTCAATATTGATATGCTGGTAAATATAACTTTTTCTTGTTTTTAAAGTGTTGTTTGTTTATTTGAAGTCGTGTCATATTGTTGTCATTTTCGACAAAGAAAACAAACATATGTATTATTTAACAAATATTGCAATTCAAATTGAAAGGATTCATAATAGGTTTACATGTTTGAATGCGTTTATTAAGATATTAGAAATATGTTTTTTGTTTTTTTGTTTTTTTTTGTTTGTCTGTTGTTTTGTGTTTCATTGTTTATGTGGACACTGAACGGTATTGCGACATAAAGAAATTTAACAACAGACAAAATAGGGGGACATTGTCTTGCTTTACTGAGAATCTTACTCACAAAAATGTAAAAATTAAGGACCTGTGATTACGTCCAACTTCTTATTACATCGACCTGATAGAGAAATATTAACATTGAGCGGGGACGGATATTCGAAGTGATCTATATCATTGTTAGGTCACATCGAAGATATGCTTAATGTTATTTTAAATGCCAAACTTCGTTGGACAGAAAATTTTATAAAATAGAATATCTTTCTATGCGAAAAGAATCGTTTTAAGTAAATACGCGAAAGGTAATTAAAATAAATCTTAATAAACCTGTATACTCCCAACGTATTATTTCTTCTGTCAACACTGTCACTACGAATGCAAAGAATAAATAAATAAATAAAAATAGTAATGAAAATGTTAAAAAGAAAAAACGAAAGAAAAAAATAGACTGATGTAAATAAAATGGAGTGTGATAAAGATTTATTCATATTTCCAATCTTAGAAATTCTCTATCTTTCATATCAATATATAGTGAAAGGAGGCGACAATGTGACAAAAGTATTCCGCCAACGCGACAACGCGACCAAAACAATATGTCGCGCTGACAGAGTACTATTGTCAAATTTTCATGTCGCACTGTCGAGTTGGCGCGTAGGATTTGTCGCATTGTCGCGTTGTCAATCACCATAAACGTCGCATTGTATGCAATTACTTAATATTTCATTAAAGCCTATTTATAGAACGTCATAAACTTGCGTTTTTATAGTACATCGTAGCAAAAAGAAGACTTGAAATTCATTTTTAATTTTTAAAACAAAACAAAATTGGAAACATAGGCAAGATATCTCTGTCAACTTTTGAGACTTCTATAATAAATTACCATCAGGACACGAGAAACTATTTCTAAAACCTTTCCGAAATTAATTATTTTTGAAGGAGAGTGAAGACAATTTCAGTAGCTTCCTCTTATTGGCTATCATCCATAGAGGCACTTTCTTTAACAACAAAAACCTGTCTAAACAGCTGTCATTAGATATCTTCTACTTAACTTGACTTTAGTAAAATAAACGGAATAAAAAATTGGATGGAACAAATGTTAAAACCAAGCCTGACGGAGTCATAGACTATCTCTACATACAATAAACTGATATGTCCTCGTGTGGATCAGCCGTCTCTTAATACACTGTGGTAAAGTTTCAACAATTGACATTAATAACAACACTGACGGGTCCTAGATGGACGAAAGAGATACATGGGGTAGTTTAATACTTTTTTTTAGCTCTACTTAATCTCTAACACTAGCACATATAACGTTTGCCTGACTGGTGAAGTACTTCTATGTATACCAAGAATTCTGATCTTGTCAAGTTGTCCGCCAAACGGCAAAAAAAATAAACTATTTAATGATTAGAGCTCACAACATTACCACTTTTCCCTCAAAAAGTTTCCCTTGTAAAGAATAGTCGTTTTCCTTTCCAATAACTTCAGAACGTGCTTCAAAACATGGCTCAAGGGAACTAACTCGTGATAGTAGAAATCTTTTGAGAAAGGAGGCAAGTTTCTCATTTCCAAACAAATGGCGGGTTATCCGGCAATTCGTGAGAAGTAGAACTAAATGTGATGCGATCTTTTCTATTTTAACCTGCGATGCCATGTGAAATGGCGCTGTCGACTCAGCGAGATGACCAAGACAGCCACTATATCTTACTGGCAAAAATTGACAATGCCAAAAACGTGTCCAATATCCTCAAAGCTATTCACTTTAAGGAGGTAAGATGTATACATACGTACAGTGAATGCTGCGCCATGTAACGATATGGTCGCGTATTTACCCTGCTTCTGTTTTATTGGCTAAATCAATTTTGACTTTCTTCATCCACCATTCTTGTCTCACAATCAGCTGGAAGTGTAGGCATAAGTATACCATTCCAAAAATAGATCAGTTTTACTTACACTTGACTAGTTGAATTTACACCATCCTCATAATGCATGGCCTACTCGATTGGGTGCTGAAGATCACGAGTACAAGACACGGAGATGTGCACGAGTCGAAAATTGTCTTACATTATGATGCAATATCGAAATTTGCATTATCTTTAGTTGCATGTAGCTACAGTGATTGATGTACCACTGAAGAAAAAGGCCGTTTTTTATACTGCATTACAATGTATTATAGCGTCTGAACTGATTCTGGTGTGGAATCAGTTACATATGAACTAGTTTCCCATATGGGATGTGTTTAGGCTTTAGTTTGTGAAGATCGGAAATAGATCGGGCCATTGCATTCATTGTTAAATGCTTGCCAATTAGTCACTTAACAAAATAATTACATTTGAAATAATCTTCATGCCCACAGTCTGCCACTGTGTTTGCCAGTGCCATGGGTTTAAAGGTAACTGTAGAGGACGCAAAATGTGTCCAAGCCAACGCCTTCATCCAGGAGGGACTGTTCCATGAATACCACATCAGGGAGGATCAGATCACATTCAAAATCAACCTGACAGTATTATTAGTGAGTAATTTTGGGCTGCAATATTACCTGAAAAAAACTATCGATCAGGGTATAAGAGTAGTATTTCATGTATTCCTCTCAGTTTTCGTAAGCTTAATATTGAAATTGGAAGATATAAGAATGTAGCAAGGTCAAAATAGTTTGTACATCATGTAATACTAATGATATTGAGGATGAGTTTCACTTTATACTTACTTTTGTCGTCCCAGTGTATTCAAACTTGTTCAATTGCTCAGTGTTAACAATGTAAAAGATCTGTGTTATCTTGGTAAATATATAAGATTTTGTTCTGAGAAGCTCCCTCAGTCACTTAAGTAATATCACTTTTTTGCGTTTGTTTATGGACGATACGATTACTTATACTATAGTCACTTTCCTGTACATCATTACACCTTTTAACATGTTAATATTGTGAATTGTACCTTATAAGTGATATGGCTTAAATTATAAGCATATTGAATTGAATTGAGTGTGATTTTCACTGTAATAATTGTAGTACAAGCTGATCATACAGATAAGATAGATTGATATCAATATTTCTCTATAGGGAAAACAAATTACCTGAACAACTAATATGATGTGCTGTAAATGTACTTAATTTGGGACTCTTAAATTTATTTACACAAACATATTTCCTATGTAAACAATTAACACACAGAAATTGCAATTTGAGCAGTCCTATTTTAGCACATTATTTCACTGTGGAAATAACTAAAATAAGATTGCACTAAATTGGCAACTTTTTACAAAACTTTGAAAAAATGTGCCAAAATATCACCTTGTTCAAAATATGCCTTTGTTAATGGATTTAAAGATTCCAGTTAATTCATTCCTCATTTAAAAAAAAATTGATGATAGAATCTATCTATTAGATGTGTATTTATTTCTATGAATTTATACCTCAGGAATGCCTGACCATATTTGGGACCAGTCAGGTACCTGGGATGACCACCACACTGAAGATGTGTTATGGTGGCTATGGATGTCCGCTCATCCTTATGTAGGTTGCTCTATATGTACTTTGCTTGTTGTTACATAGCATTAAATTTCAACAAATTAATATCACTACTTTCCATATAAGATTGTTGTGAGGTTGAAAATGAAAACAAAAAGATATTATATTCTTCTTGTTTTACCAAAATAAGTTAGAATTTATTTGTAGCTAGTTTGAAAACGAAAAGAAAGCTTTCCCTTTAAAAACATTTTGGCCTTAAAAACCTAGAACATTATTTTTATGTGACAAAAGTGAAAGACAATTGAAAAATTTACTTTTAAAAATGTCAATAATTCAAAACCTAACAACATATGTACATTGATATATTTTTTCTTTGGAAATTATGATAATAGTATCAAAAACTCTGTTTAGGTTAGAAGAAGATGGAGTATTGACCGATTGCAGCATTAAGACTTTGGAACCTGATGAAGTTCTAGATTTCAACTTTAGCAGTACAAATGTCCTTAACAAAATGATCATGAAGGTACTGTATGTACATTACAAAGTTGTATGTAATGTATGGTGGTGTGAAATAGGGTCTGTACAGTTTTTATTTATATTTTAAACTATCTTTAGATCACAAAAATATAACTGCTATGTACTCCACACCATTATGCCAGTATGGGTTCTATATTAAGAACCTGACTGGGTAGGTTTCAAAATTTGAAATTAGAAAAAAAAATCGTAAAGTTTATTATTGTCAGTGTTTTTATATTTTGGTTGGATTTTGCTTCTTTTTAGAATATTGTAGATGATTTAAAGTGTGTATTTCCTTGTTATTTAAACTACATTTAAAGTGCAAAATGTTTGTCAATTTTTTAAGTTTTTTGTCTCTTGAGATAGTTACAAGTCCAGTTACAGTTTCTAAAGTTTCAGACTCCCAAACCTCACCCCAAAATAATTATTATGATCGATAGAAATAAAAGAGCTACATTGATGATTGATATTGTATTTATTTACATTATCATTACAGTCAGAGTGTCTGAAGGAAGCATTCAGTGAGTTAGATATGACTAGTGACATTCTACAGATCCTTCTGTCTCCAGACCAGCCATACTTCAGACTCTCAACATTCGGAAATGCTGGTAGCACCCATGTAAGTGTTATATACCACAGATTATCAGGTCCCGGCTCATAACTTAATACTGATTTCTTATTTTGTCCGCATCACAGTTATATAACTGAAATTTTGTTATTTGTGGAATAAACTCATGAAGTGTTTCATTTAACACAAAGACATGAATGTTTTACTATTTCATGTTTGGTTGACAGTTCATTACTGTTTTTCGTCTTATTAACAGCCAGAGTCATTCAAGGATGTTTCAGGTTACTATTTCAAGCAATATGTGAATGTTGTTTCATGAAATTCCAACTACAGTAATTTAAATCTTATTTCCAAAACAATACCTAATTGTTACATTACTTATTTTGTGATCTAGAACAGGGTCCTCATACATTATATTTGTTGTAACATATAATATACCATATTATTCCGTCTATAAAATACGTATATGACACAATAGAGCAGTGATCTTGGGAAGACTAAAGCAGAACAATTTTATCAGTAAACCAAAATGAAGGTACTGTTAAAATCTTGCTCATTTGTATTTTATAAAACTTTGCAAAAACAACCTGTTGTATTACATTTACAGGTATATAGATATTTGTGAATATTATCTATTTTTCAGTCTGATTTTCCAAAAGATTCAGATATGGTGGAGTCCTTTTTATGTACACAAACACAAACCAACAGGTAGAGTTCCACATGACTATCCTTTTACTCTAGCCATTTCAAAATTGTTTTGGGCATTGTAAGTTTGGTGAATATCCCTAGCAGAATGAAATTTATAAAAAAACATCCTGACATCAAAAATAATTTAACCCCTATACACTTACTTGTACCAGTAAACAACATGTAATACATGTTGGCATTTTTTATGTGAATTTTTTATCATGTGATGTCATACATTACATATGAATGTATTTGGTATTGTCATTTGAATGGTAAACGTAAGTTTTGGGGTAAAAGTGTCATGAACTATTTGCTGTGTTTCTAGGTACAAGATCTCACTTCTAAAACCCTCTGTGAAGGCATTGACACTGTCTACAAGGGTGTCTATCCGAACAGACAACCGTGGCTTTCTGTCTCTCCAGTACATGATCAAGAACGATGATGGTCAGGTCTGCTTCGTTGAATATTATGTAAGTACAAGTAAGGTTGATATCAATGTGACTGAAATTGAAAATCTGTGTGACAAAATATTGATATCCAAAGGAGCTTACATGTGGTATTTAAAAAATTCCTGTACAGTAAGATTCTCTATAATTTAGCTGAAAGGTATAGATTGATGATAATCCTACATTTTTGCAGTGCGCTCCTGATGAAGATGTAGATGACCCTGAACATTGACAGAGAAGCTTCAGTTCTGATGATAGCCATGCATGTCAACATAAGATTTTAATTCTGGGTTGGATTACTATGGCAATGAAATCCTTTGATTTTTAACCTCTGTGACAAACTGGTAGTTACCATGGTGGCAGTGATACTTCAGTTCAAGTGGTTTCCATGGTAACAATAATACTTCAATTCAAGTGGTTTTCATAGTGACAGTAATGCTTCAGTTCCAGTGGTTTCCATAGTGACAGTAATGCTTCAGTTCCAGTGGTTGCCATAGTGATAGTAATGCTTTGGATCTGATGGTTGCCAAGGAGACGCTTATGTTAAGTGATTGTCATGGTGACAGAATTACCTAGACCATGATGACTACATGTACATGTATCATGGAGACAAATAACGATGGTTTAGTTTTAGTTGTTTAGAACTTCAACATTTTTGCAATGCTGGAAAGTTTTCTCTTCTTAGGATCAATCATACTTCATAAGTGATCCATGCATTGTTACAGTTGCAAGAATATTACAAATGATCTTTGTTTCAAATGTTTATACTTTTTTATTTCACAGGAGTAGTTGATGTTTAGTTAACAATTATCCATGAACAGTTGGTGCCCATGTGCCTTTTTGCATGTACATATTGGGACCAGATTTGTACATGTTGCCTTTGACACTTAGTAGTTCAATCTCATCATGAATTCCTGTGAATTGTGTTACAACTTATTGTTTTTCTATGGTACTGTATGTATATATAAGCCTGTATTTAACAAATAAATTGATATGAAGGGATGGAGATAGTTGGAATTTTTGTGACAAACCTTTGGCAATTTCTTCTAAAATCAAATAAATTTGTTTTTCTAGACCTTACAAATTCATTGTTAGACCTCATTTTACAGTACCTCATATAGTGCAAGGGATCTGATTGTTTTGTACACAGTCTTTATATCAACTGCTTTTTCTGATTCATGATATTACAGAAAAATGCAATGCTTATTTTTCAAACCTACATGGAATTGTACCAAAATTATGAAATCCCTGTGAAACCAGCATATTTGCAAAATTGGTTCATTGCTGGATTTACCACATGAACAACATACAGGAGGCCCATCACATGTCCTTCAGAGCAATTAGGGTGGCTTGCCCAAGAATACATCCACAATAGCACAGACCAGACCATTTCTCAGTTTAATGTTAAACAAAAACTGCCATTGGCATGGAGGGTTGAACAATGCTTCTGGGAACTTCACCAGATGTAATTGGTCATATTACACTGCTGGAATATCATAAATGAGATGTAAATAGTATGTAATAGACAGGATGTCAAAATATTAGAGTCCTAGTAGACCAGATTAAACAGGTAGAGGTATTGCCAGTTTATAACTTTTTGCAATAGACAGGTCAAAATACAGAGGGGTCAGATTAATAAAAATGTTGGAATCATAAGTCAGACAAAACATTGAATAAGACAGTTTTCTCTTCAGCAGATTTGTTAACAGACATGATATGTTTATATGTTGAAAATTTCTACTATTTATATATAAAGAAATTGTCATATTGAAGGAAGTTTAATTTGTATGATGTTAAAATTCCTTGTCATGTGCCAAAATGGTCCAATCACAGCCATTGACCACAATAGATGTGTCCACATTAAACCACATCAACAACAACAAAATTCAGTCAAGAAACAGCATGAATGTAATTGTACATTTCAATTACATTTGAAAAAAATATGAAATATGTTACCTGGATGTTGGAAATCAGTTTATTACAGTTGATGACTTGAACACAAAATTAGAATCTCATTTGAAGTGAGCTGATATCTAAGAAATGAAAAAGCAACATACTAAAATGTGATATTAAGCAGAATGTATATCTATTATCACTTGTTGATATAAAGTGGAATGTACCACTCTGACATAAAATTCTGTGTACGTTACATATGATCAATAAACCAACAAAATAAACTTGTATCATACAAATTTTATTTACACACACATAACATGGATAACATACAAATTACAATCAATTTCACTTAGATTAAACTAAGATTTTAAGTGATATTTTGGAATCGTATTTAAAAGGGAACACCATGCACATGGTCTCTTCAACAAAGATGTAATTTTAGATACAAAATTTTTTTACTTTGCCAGACACATTTGACCACAACTGGAATAAAATAACAGACCTCAATCTGAACATCTATAAATCTAGAAGACATTGTTAATAAATTAAGAAATGTTAAGATGGTTTCTTCAAAGAAATGTCTTGTTTACAATCAAATTTTCAGTCTTTAATTACCCTTTTAACAATTTTATTGTAATTTAAATTCATTTCCTTACAAGTTCTTATATCATAGTAAGGAAGGGGAATGTACTTCTATTACAAAGGAAGACAACCAGAAACTGGTCTGATGTGACTGTATTAGCCATATTTCAAGATTAATAGTGACACTTTCTTTCGAAATGAATGCACATATATATATATATATATATATATATATCTATAAGCACAAAATCCTCTCCAAGGTTTTCCATTTCAAAATAACACAAAACATATTTCATTTCAGGATTGAGTATAGTTTCCTACCTACACAAACTGACAGGTCTTCCTGTCTGAAATCAATATTCACTCTGACTGTAAGATGCAGCATTAAATGCGATAATTTGAGGCATAGAAAGTTACACAGGGTATATCATGTACATGTAGCTGGGAAAATGTCAGTTCCAGGGATTCAAATTAACAAACACATTTTCCAAAATCAAAATGGCCACGACTTTTAGAGTGAAATTCATTCTGTAGAAGCAGATTCAACAGACTATTGTAATTCTGATGCATCCATCAACTTGACAACCACATTTTTGGTAATCACTTACACACACAGAACCTTTAACTACAAACTGCATAAGAGAAGACAAACAATCAACAGTTCCATGAAGAATTTTCTAAGAACAAAAATTAATTCATTTAATAATACAATTGTAACTATTTGCAAATTCTTGAAACATAGTGGATTCTCTTTATTTTGAATTCCGACATTAAAAATTTGAAATACATGGTATTTACCAGGAGCATGTTTCTTTCAATGGTTAAATTTTTGCAACATATATTTATTTTCCATGAAAGTTATGACTCTAAATAATTTTCTTATCAGTTTTTTGTTCAAAGTATCTTATTTTTCACGATTTCATTTCATCCTTGAAAAAAAAATAATGAAAAAATTACAATACCTCAACAAACACTGAACGGCATTCTTAATGGTGTTTAATTTCCCGATTTTTCAGTAATAGTGGAAATAAATAATTCACCACAAAATTTAAGGAATATTCATTTCATTGCACATTGTGAAATTTGATAACATGAATATTTGTTTTACAATCAAACATACTCCATTTGATTGTTGTTTTTTATATTGTAAGTAAGGAAGTGTAAACAAGTGAATACACATGTATATAAAACTAATGACTGTTTTACAGTCAGTCTATAATGTAAAGTATAAATGTTACAATACTTCTATATCAAAATCTATAATTATCATAGATTTCATAAGTTTTTTTTTACATATATTACATGATGGTAAATAATCTACAACTTTCATTCAAGGTTACTAAATTACTTGTAATTTCTACACAAGTTCGTGCTAATTAAAATCTGAATACAGAATAGACTATTCCATACTGTAATAATATGGGATACAGAATAGACTATTCTATATTGTAATAATATGGGATACAGAATAGACTATTCTATATTGCAATAATATTTGGATACAAAATAGACTAGCCCATACTGTAATAATATTTGGATACAGAATAGACTATTCCATACTGTAATAATATTTGGATACAGAATAGACTATTCCATACTGTAATAATATGGGATACAGAATAGACTATTCCATACTGTAATAATATTTGGATACAGAATAGACTAACCCATACTGTAATAATATTTGGATACAGAATAGACTATGCTATAGTGTGATAATATTTGGATACAGAATAGACTATTCCATACTGTAATAATATTTGGATACAGAATAGACTACTCCATACTGTAATAATATTTGGATACAGAATAGACTAACCCATACTGTAATAATATTTGGATACAGAATAGACTAACCCATACTGTAATAATATTTGGATACAGAATAGACTAACCCATACTGTAATAATATTTGGATACAGAATAGACTACTCCATACTGTAATAATAGACTATAGACTACTCCATACTGTAATAATATTTGGATACAGAATAGACTAACCCATACTGTAATAATATTTGGATACAGAATAGACTAACCCATACTGTAATAATATTTGGATACAGAATAGACTAACCCATACTGTAATAATATTTGGATACAGAATAGACTACTCCATACTGTAATAATATGGGATACAGAATAGACTACTCCATACTGTAATAATATTTGGATACAGAATAGACTACTCCATACTGTAATAATATTTGGATACAGAATAGACTATTCTATATTGTAATAATATGGGATACAGAATAGACTATTCCATACTGTAATAATATTTGGATACAGAATAGACTAACCCATACTGTAATAATATTTGGATACAGAATAGACTAACCCATACTGTAATAATATTTGGATACAGAATAGACTATTCCATACTGTAATAATATTTGGATACAGAATAGACTACCCATACTGTAATAATATTTGGATACAGAATAGACTAACCCATACTGTAATAATATTTGGATACAGAATAGACTATTCCATACTGTAATAATATTTGGATACAGAATAGACTATTCCATACTGTAATAATATGGATACAGAATAGACTATTCCATACTGTAATAATATTTGGATACAGAATAGACTACCCATACTGTAATAATATTTGGATACAGAATAGACTAACCCATACTGTAATACTATTTGGATACAGAATAGACTATTCTATACTGTAATAATATGGGATACAGAATAGACTATTCCATACTGTAATAATATTTGGATACAGAATAGACTATTCCATACTGTAATAATATGGGATACAGAATAGACTATTACTGTAATAATATACCATACTGTAATAATATGGGATACAGAATAGACTATTCTATACTGTAATAATATGGGATACAGAATAGACTATTCTATACTGTAATAATATGGGATACAGAATAGACTACTCCATACTGTAATAATATGGGATACAGAATAGACTATTCCATACTATAGACTCCATACTGTAATAATATTTGGATACAGAATAGACTATTCCATACTGTAATAATATTTGGATACAGAATAGACTATTCCATACTGTAATAATATGGATACAGAATAGACTATTCTATACTGTAATAATATTTGGGATACAGAATAGACTATTCCATACTGTAATAATATGGGATACAGAATAGACTATATACTGTAATAATATGGGATACAGAATAGACTATTCCATACTGTAATAATATGGGATACAGAATAGACTACTCCATACTGTAATAATATGGGATACAGAATAGACTACTCCATACTGTAATAATATGGGATACAGAATAGACTATTCCATACTGGGATACAGAATAGACTATTCTATACTGTAATAATATGGGATACAGAATAGACTATTCCATACTGTAATAATATTTGGATACAGAATAGACTACTCCATACTGAATATTTGGATACAGAATAGACTACTCCATACTGTAATAATATTTGGATACAGAATAGACTATTCCATACTGTAATAATATTTGGATACAGAATAGACTATTCCATACTGTAATAATATGGGATACAGAATAGACAATTCTATATTGTAATAATATTTGGATACAGAATAGACTATTCCATACTGTAATAATATTTGGATACAGTAATACTGTAATAATATTTGGATACAGAATAGACTATTCCATACTGTAATAATATGGGATACAGAATAGTCCAACTGTAATAATATTGGATACAGAATAGACTATTCCATACTGTAATAATATTTGGATACAGAATAGACTATTATATACTGTAATAATATGGGATACAGAATAGACTACTCCATACTGTAATAATATGGGATACAGAATAGACTATTCCATACTGTAATAATATTTGGATACAGAATAGACTATTCCATACTGTAATAATATGGGATACAGAATAGACTATTCCATACTGTAATAATATGGGATACAGAATAGACTATTCCATACTGTAATAATATTTGGATACAGAATAGACTATTCCATACTGTAATAATATGGGATACAGAATAGACTACTCCATACTGTAATAATATGGGATACAGAATAGACTACTCCATACTGTAATAATATGGGATACAGAATAGACTATTCCATACTGTAATAATATGGGATACAGAATAGACTATTCTATATTGTAATAATATGGATACAGAATAGACTACTCCATACTGTAATAATATGGGATACTGTAATATACTGTAATAATATGGATACAGAATAGACTATTCTATACTGTAATAATATGGATACAGAATAGACTATTCCATACTGTAATAATATGGGATACAGAATAGACTATTCCATACTGTAATAATATTTGGATACAGAATAGACTATTCTATACTGTAATAATATTTGGATACTGAATAGACTATGCTATAGTGTGATAATTTTTCAACATCTTGTCTTAATTTTTATACAAAACTTTCTTGCAAACTGATTTTAATCACAAAACTAAATTTCCAGGAAAACAGTGTGTTTACAGTAGCTGTTTATCAACAATCATCATTATCGTTATTGTGGTTTTAGTTAACAATAATAGGATAATATAGGTATTGAAATACAAGAGCACTATAATTACACTCCTCAAGTGGGTCATTATAAGCATAGATGAACAGGACATGGAAATATAACTGTGACCATTTCACACACTAAAATCATGACGAACCATGTTAAAAGGTAAGCCTACCCTGACACAAGTAATGTAGCTAGCTACAAATACAGACAGACTTTACCCACCAATACCTTGAACTTGTATAACAACTGACAGGAAATTGTCCTTCATATAAAAAGCAACAGAACATCAATCTGAATTATTAACAAATGAAAGTGAAGCAAGGAAATCCAGAGGAAACAAATTTTCTCTCGACAACACTTATTTGAAGAAAACCGGGTCTTTCAACATACGACATACTTGTTATTAATTTTGGAAAGTCTCGCAACCATTCCAATATTTCGAAATTCATTAAAAGTATGCCAATTTCAATATGCATATGGTCGTTTAGTTTCATTTACTTCAATCTGATTTTAAAATGTATGCTTTCATTTCAAAGACTCCATCTTGCATTAATGAAATATTGAAAAACTTTTGTTCAATAAATTAAGTTGAAAAGAGTTCAGTTTGAGATTAAGAAATTGATTCTTTTATATCCAGTTGTATCATATGTTGTATGAAATCAATTTGAACACCTGAGTTTTATTCATTTCTTCTTGTCTTCCTTACATGCAATAACATATCGCTGGGCGACCATGAGGGGTGGAGAGTAGCCATCTTGATAGGAGGTGTCTTCAAATAACACAGAATAGTCATCTTGTGGCTGAAAAGTTCATGAAGAATACTGTTATGTGCAGCTTAATACTTCAACTTTCACAGCTTTACAAAGGTTTTAATTAAAATACGCATATCTTAATGAAAAAAATAACTTGCAACCTCAAAATACCCCTAATACTTTTACTTAGCTTAAGTTTGAAAATGAAATAAATACATAAAGACAAATATTTGGACAGTAGAACAACCCTCACCCCAACCCTGTCATTTTGTTGCACATGGTATAAATGAGCAAATCATTTTCAAACCTAAGAATAATTCTCAAATTTTTCACAAGAAAAATATCTGACAAACATTTTATACTGATGTAAAATTTCTTTTTAAAACGATGTACCAAGATTTGTTTTTGTCCCTTCTATTCAAATATGTATTGGAATACATATGGTTGACAGTTACCTTTTTAGGGGGTTCATGTATGAGGGCTCTGTAAAAACAGGTTGTCTGAGGATACAGTGCTAGCACCAACTGCAAAACAATACAAAAGAAGCATGACTAGGTGATATAAAACAAATCCATTGCCATAGTGTCATTCTTTAGTTACCTTTGATCTCTTTGCTGCAAAATAAAGGGAAATGTTACAGCATAATGGGTAAAGAAGGAAACAAACATAATTAATCATAGATTTTCCTCTAACATATTCATAGAACGCAGCATATTAAAAGGATACATAAAGAGAAGATAGATTGGGAATGGTTCATTTGAATTTTGAGTACAAGAGTTTTGATCTTTTTGGATTAACATTGGTATATTGATACCATGATATTTCTAGTCTGAAATCTTACCATATTTTTAGTAAATAATGCCTCTGGATCAGTTTCTGGGTTAGCCTTCCATATTGGTAATGGAACAATTCTTCTTTTACTGAGAGTATGTCGTCTGCAATATATCATACACAATATATTAAATATATATCATAGAAATTCAAAATTTGATTTATTCATGAGATATTGGTATCTATAAGTGTTCCTCATCTACACGCAAATGATAAAATTTGTGAGCTACACAAATGACAGCTTTCTGTATTAGAACAACTTACTCTCATGCATCTAAGTATCAAGCATTGTGTTTGATGAATTCGCAGAAGTTGTTCAATGTGACTTTTGACAATTTAACCTTGACCTATTACCAACTTAACGTGATCAGGTGTAGAACTTGATGTTAAGATACTTTGGAGTAAATATGAACCAAATCTCTTGAGGAGTTCTGAAAATATAACATTATTTCAGACGAAACAGGACGGACAAACAAGACATACAATATGCCTCCAATAAAACCATGCAGGCAAAAAAGAATCTGCTAATTTGAGTTCAGGAAAAATTGCTCTGTTACATTACTGAAAAAGTGTTACAAGTAGTAAATTCTACTGTATTACACAAGAATTCTCCTGTCTTTTTAAAGAAAAGTTTAATCTAGCCCTGTCAGTAATTCTAAAACATAACATGTAACAGCTGGGAAAAGGTGAAAACAAAATTCCAGGAATATTGAATGTATGAAGAGAAAGAATACACTCCATTTCGCTACTTATCCTAAAATTTAATGCTGACCCAGGCCTAGGTCAGTGTTTTAAACTAATGCCATCAACACTTTGAATACTGCTTCAACATAAATTATGGATGTAAGAATGTAGATAAATTTTTTTTCTAAATTTGGTTTCTTTTTAATTCCAAACTGACTACAGTTTGGGTTTTCTATTTTGGAGAAAACTTTAACACTTTGGTCAGATCTATTTAAACAACTTCTGTGAGAAATCTTTTTTTTGCAAAATACTCACTCTTTTCCTTCATCTGCATCAATGTCATCCACATCATATTTGTTGGTAGAGGAGTTGAAGGTCACGACCTCAGCTAAGATCCAGTTCTCTTCATCTTCTGACCGCACTCTTGCAGCTACCTTGTCTCCTGGTTTGGCCACATAGTTATTATCTGCTGTGATAGCTCCACACAGAGGAGGAGGCCTGGAACAAAAAATACAGAAAAGGTCAGAGGTTATGTAGCAAGTATTGAAAACAAACAGCTCCAAACAACAGGAAAGGTCAAACATGAATCAGCTAGGTCAGAGGTCATATAGTTCCATAGAGGATTTACTTAGGAGATCCCTTGACCGAAACGGAACATACCATGTGTCAGTAGTAAATGAAAGATTGGAAAAGCTCTTTATACAGCTCCAATTCCAGTGGTGCCTATGCCAATAGTGTAACATATGTCCATTTCGTCCTTGTCTGGGTCAATGTTATCACTCTTCATTTCTGAAGGAATTTCTAGCGAACTTTCTGCAATGTTTCATTATCCTAATACCTCAGATAGGTTTGTGTTTTAAGGCTCCAAGGTAAATATGTCGATCATTGAACACTTACTTACAAATACGGTAATTCTCCTTGTTGAGATATGTCTCTATGAAGCTTCATGTTGATACGTCTTATAGTTTAATTGTAATGCTCAGGAGAAAGTTTAAGTATGAAAAATAACAAAGGGCAATAATTCCTAAATTTTGCAAAACAGAATGATGGTTCTGGTGCAATGCACTTCTCTTTGTTGAGGTATATCTACCTTGGAAATTTCATGTTGATACCTCTTATCATTTTTGTGTTATGCTCCAGACAAAATTATGATGGACGGACAACTGAATAGATGGACAACCACAAGTGTATGATCTCCCTTTGGGGAGCTTAAAAAGAAAGCAGGGCCATTTTCCATTCATTTGGGAAAGGGCTTTTTTATTTTTATCTCATATTAGGGAAATAATTAATCCATTAGAAAGGAATTGTGAAGGAGACTACTATACATATTGTGAGATTGACCATATTACGAAGGAATGTGGCCCATATTTAGCCCCACACAGACTCCTAGAAAAAGCCTTGGAAATGATTTTGATAAAAGATTTCAGTGGTCAAAGAGAGTACTGAAATGAAGCATGATACTAGATGTCCCTAGGATATAATGTTCCTGTCCCTATGCAAACCAGAATCTGATGAGGAGGAAAACTTGAAGTCATGATGCTATGGCATAAATATGAACCGAATCAGACAGACATGAGTAACACTGTATGACTGATAGAAAGACTCACTTCTCTCCAGGTTTGCTGACCCATAGGGGCAAAGTTTGTGCATTTTGTTGTAACATTGTCATCAAAACTCCTCGCCTCATGATTGGTTTTGGGCGGTCAGAGTCTGAAAGGAAACATTACAACATTTAATATAAATTTATATATTCTGGAATATTTTATGTACATAACTTTGATATCTATACTGATTTCTAAATAGATATGAAGTATGCAAAGGAGTATTTTCTAATCATTTTGATGTTGGAACTCCTTCAATGTTGCCAACAAACCAGATTTTGTAAAGTCAACCTGACATTGGAAAATATATGACCTGCTTGAATCATAAACAGTACAAAAAAATATTTCTTTCCATTTGACAAAAGTTTGAAAAATTCAGAATCAATATTTGTATCTAATATAGTCAAAATACTGTTTAACATAAAACAACATCTAGTTACATACATTTTTACCTAAACTTTTAATCCATCCCTTCACCCTGGATTTTGAAGGTGTATGATCAGATAGAAGATGATAAGAAGTTGTTGTTGACACTGCTCTTGTATAAAAAATAATGCTGCAGATTTTTCTTTGTTTCAAAGTTTGAGAAGAAAACTACTGCAAAAATTTATTGTGAGAGAAATGGCATCTACATTGACAACACCTACCAACCAACCATTCTGACAGGATTTATTTTCCAGTATTTTACTTCTTAAATCTATCTTAAAATAACTTAAAGATGTTTGGGAGTATTACAGTACAATACAGAATACCGGATTCACAACAATATCAATACACTACCTTTTATTTTACCAAGTCGTCGGTTTTCCCTTATGCTTTTTACCTCAGCAATCTTATCAAGAGCTTTTCTCAATAACCTGTGAATTCAGAGTTTAAATCAATAGAAAACATAAAAAATATACAGCCATTTCTAGTGTTTTTAAATTTTGAAATTATAGTCAATCTACATAATGCAACCAATCTCAAGCAAAACAAAACACAATTTTAGAATTCAAACAAAGGTTTCACATACTGATGTCCAGATAAATGAGTTTGAAAAAATACTTGTAAGATAATGAAATACTGGCCTTAATGACTACCTAATCATGAAAAACTGTTAGTAATAATTGTGATTATTGAACCTCTTTATAAAGGCTACCTTTCTATTAAGGTCACTTTTCTTTGTTACTTTAAGTGGCCTTCATAGACAAGTTTGACAATGGTCCTATAATAAATATTGATAATATGTTTTTGTCATCAGAATTTCTTGTTTATCAAATAATATTGTCACTTAACCAAAAATAACACTGTTATGTCTGTACTGTGCATAATTCAATAAATTGTCAAAACTGTAAATTAACTGGTTTGCTTGGCCTGTTAAGACAAACCTGTTATTGTTCATAGCTAACAATGCTTGGCCGGCCTGTTGATACAAACCTATTATTATTCCTAGCTAACAAAGCTGTCGTCATGCTAGAAATATCTATTTTCTTGTGATTTTGTATAAATGTTTACAACTTACATAACATAAATTGATAGCAAAAGATATGTTTTACTTACTCTGCTTCTAGTTCAGCATCCTGCATGGCTGTTTTGTACAGACCTTTGAGTTTGTTTTTATAATATGGAGTCACTGGAAAAGGAATGTATGAAAATAACAAAAACTGTGGACACTTTTCACAACATATTGTTGGTTATAATCTTTTATACTGATCAAGTAATCATCAAAATGACATTTAGAAAATATTCTTGAAATTAATTGTAGTACAAAAGACTTGTACTGCCATACAAAAAAACTTACTGATAGTGATACTGCACCTGTCTGATATTTGGGCCAGTTGATTTTCAATCATAACTAGTGAACATTTATCAATCAGAATTTAGATCTGATGTCACATTGATGATTAATTTTGTTTCACAGTACATGTATTATGAAATTAACAACTGAAGGTTTATCTTGTGTTATAAAAACAAAGATAGAGTGAAATAACAGCACATATATAACTTTTCTCAAGCAGTCAAAATACCTTTTTGTTCCTGTTGCATCCGTTCATGTGTTTTAGAGATGTTAGTGAGATTGTGCTCTCCCCTGGCTCGTTCATCCTTTACAGATAATAATGCATTATTTTAACAAACCATAATTAGATGCTTGTCATTCACAACTAAACACATGAAATGTATATTTCTTGTCCGAGTTTACATGAACAACATGAGAAAATCCTTTACAGTTCCATGAACATGTCTATCTGCACTGTCATGACTTTAATCAAAATTATAAACTTACAAAAACTTTTTTTTATTAAATCTTTGATCAGTGATGTATTACAATTACTGTATATGTACATGTAAGATAAAAATCTAGATGAAAAATTTTCCAGTTGAAGAAATTTTCCAAGAGTCATTTTCCTTTCAAGTTTGTGTGTATTGTGATTCATCTGTTTGGTTTTAGGAGAATATCTAGAGGTATGAAGAGCCCTCTAAAATAAAGTAAAGTTAACTTTTGAGAAAAGGGAAGAGGAGCAATAACAGGTAACTCCTGTAGCCAGATTTCCAAAGAACATTACTTACTGAATATGTAGTCTAATTCCAAGTTATACAAAGTTATCAGTATAGCTGGTAAATACCAGCTATATGGTATACAGACCAATATTTCAACAAAATTACATCAACTTTTGTTGCTGACAATTTTAAAATAAACTTCATAAAAGAAGGTTCTGAGGTTGATAAAAATGAGTCTCATTTCTACTCTTAGAGCAAATGTATGCATGACTCCTCTCAAAAATATTGGAACAGCTTTGATTTTCTTGTTACACAAACCAAATTAAAATAAAAGTGTATCAGTATACAGTTGCAACTGAAGTATAATATAACTTTTGTCAGGCTGTGTACATGTAGATATTGAAACAAGGACATTAATTTTTTTTTTTGATGTCTAGCAATGGGGCAAATGAGATATTACAGATAAAAAGAGCATTATAGTTATAATTACCTGCACTTGGTGTATAAGATGATAAAGCTCTTTCAACAGGTCCTTAATGCGAACCTCGGCGGCCGCAGTACTGCATGTGGAGTTAGTGTCCGATGACGGACTATGGCTACTGCTAGCTCCTACGCTACTTCCACCACCTCCAGACTTTGTGCGGCCCATGTTTTACTGATCAGATTCTTTTTCCGTCACATGAAAGTGATTGTTTCAATTAGACTGATCACAACAATGATTTTCCATCTAAGAATATAAAATGATATGTATTTTATACAAAAAATATACAATAAATCAAATATAATTATATGCAAACACTAAATTTGAACATATCTATGAAATACATGAATGAACTTGATATTCCTGAAGGATTTCTGGTTTGGGGATGTGAGATAGGAAAGTTCCACCTGAGCTGTTATAGTATTAGAGGAAGGTGCATAAAAATCTTGAGGAATTTGTCAGCATTATAGATCAATTTCTCTATTCTAAAAATTGAATTCTTCTTCCTGTAATAAATATCCCATTAATGAGATTTGCTCATTTCTTTCAAAATTCTACTCAGTTCTGTGAATATAGTTAAACATGTGATGAACCAATGGTTACAGTGATCAGTTATGAAGGGGTATGAATGCAATTCAGTGGGGCATTGGAAGAGCTTCGATTCCTTTGCAACAATACATATAAATGGTATCCACCAGTCCCAAATGCATATAAAACATGAAAAGTTTTCATTTGAGAAATGCACATGGTCAATGACCGAGATCAATGAAAAAACTCAGCTTTTCTTTCTCAGTCTAGACAATCACAGCATCTATATACATCATAAACGCAGAAATATTAAAGAAAAAATGAACCTCTTCCATGTCCTGCATATGCACAAAGCACGCGGATATATTATGTACATGTTGGTCTTATAATTATAAGCCATATTGGAATCGTAGTATAGGCTTAGAAATTAATAACGCCATACAAACAAAATGTGTTATCGTTATTGTATCATAAAAATGCATTTATAATCTACTTCAAAATAAACTTTCAGTAACCTTTCCACATGAAAATTAGAAGCAAAAAAGCACGGTTGGTGAGCTTTATGGTAACTAATTTTGACAGAATCAGCTGATACAGTGAAGGGCCGGGGCTCCTTTTCATTTGATCGTACCATTTTGTCAAAAATTGAAATAATTAGATATATCTGTAATAAATAAACAGAAAAAAATAAAGATTTTATAACAAAGAATTAATGAATACCTAGCTGATGTTCCTTCTCATTGCACCTGGTCAAAAGCTCACTTCTGATAATAAACAAAGCATTCACCGGAAATTGTCCAGGATCTTGTAACCATTTGGTACTTTTCTCGACAAAGTAGTAAAAATATGAAAAATCCCAAGAGTATTCCGAAAAAGATTGACATTTTCTTACAAGCTTCTTAATTGGTCAGAAATTCCAACGACGTCTTAAACGCTTTGTCATTGGTCAATGGACCGGTACAGTTTTCAACATGGAGGAACTATTGCTACTTTTCTGTGGAACATCTTTCTATTTATCTTCCTTTCTCGTTACTAAGCAAACGTTGCTCAGTTTGTTTCGAAAGGAACTAAGCGATGCAGATATTGTCGCCATAAGCGAAAAGTAAGTACTCATGTTTCGTGGTATTGAAATAGTGAGACGCAACACTCGCTCTCATACTCAAGCGACCGGATGCTGATGGAAAATCAAGGAAGAGCGACTATAAGTTAATGTATGGACAGCCTGTTAGGGTGATTATTATAAATTCTTATTGACATATAATCAGACTCCTGGGATTCGAGCGACACTTACTGTTTGAGTAATAAATTTGTTACTCAAATAATTGTCGAATTTGGGATAGTTTGAAACATGCTATTCACTAAAAAAAATTAACATAAACAAATTTTAAAATCCTGTTGCAAATTCCTTCCTGTTACATTGAATTGATGTCTGTGAGGTACAGTTCCTTGTTTCATGTACTGACAGTGTCTCCAAGTTCTTGTGAAATAATATCTGGTATTGGCCTGCAAAATCAATGGTGGAAGGCCATAGGCCTAATGTTTTGAAGGATCATCAGGTAAAAAGACCTTACAATCGATTCTGTTTTGTAGTCGTCACAACTTTATTAAGATAATGTTCTATGATATGTTTGAACATTATTTTGACAACAGTATGAACTACCCAAAACGTAAATTTGAACCTTTTGAATACTGATCAAATAAAATATCAGGTGATTCTAGCATATAGCGAAATGTGAAAGTCATGATGTAGTCAATATCAGACTGACCTGATAAGATCTGGTGATAAGGCAACACTTGTACCCAAATATAGGTTGTGATACTATACACCCCTGCAGTATCGAGGATGTAAAGAAACTTTCAGTTGTATTACTCCTGATCATTCGAGTGGAGTGCTAGCTTCTGTCTCAATCTTGAGAGTCAAATTGAATTCAGATTCCAATCTGGACCCATTTATTTTCAATTCTCCTGTCATGGGGTTGGAACCCGGGACCTTCCCAACTCTAGATGGATGCTCTTCCTATTTAGCTAACTGGTCGCAGATGATTGTCCTCGTCCAGTTCCACTACACTTCTCCCTCCTTATTTTTAGTCTTCATCCCCGAAGACATCACATCTAACAACCGAGGTTTGGGTAGCCCCTTGTTAAGAATTCACCTTCTGCTTGAAACATGGTTTGGTCATGACACTATACGTAACAGGAGCGGTAAAATGCACGGCCACACTGGGTTTTGAACCTGGGACCTTCCAAACTCTAGACGGATGCTCTTCCTTCTGAGCTAACTGGTCACCGACGATAGACCACGTCCAATGGTATATATTTACCCTTTAACCAATTGATCATGTGCTACATTACAAATATGTTTTTTGTGCTTTAACAGCTCATAAATGTAATGCTCTATTCTAAAGTTACTGCATGGTAGTTTTCACATTTTTGTTGGTACAAGATAGTATTGGTTAATAGGATACCAAATCCCAAATTCCTTCTGACTCTACAACTACATATGGACCAAGATTTGACACATTTAGACGTACAAATTGTGAATGTAGGCTTTAGGAAATTACTGTTGCATTGCCTACAAATTTCAGAAGCTATGTAATATGAAGGTTTGAATCCCTGACAAAATGTTTTATTTCATTTTTCAATTAATTTTTTTTGTTTGTGTGAAGGAAACATTGTCAAAAATTATGCTGAAAATAAGTGTTAATTATATGTGCCCTATTGTGTCAATTTCCTGAATTCTGGTCCATATTTATACATTGCAGAATTGTAAATGGCATCCATGGTGTTGTGTCAGTGTATGTTGGTGTTATTGTATGTTCTCATTGCAACGATGATATCTTATACAGCAGGTATGTACACAAAGCAGGAAAGTGGATCTGTTGACTATTTTTAGGGTCTCGTATGGGAAATAGGAATGCCTTAGTAATTACTCTGTCTGATATTCAGTATAATAATTTATTGACCTCTTAACATGAAATTTGGTTAAAATGTCCAGTTCATGAAAATATATTGGGGTCAAAAAGCAAGGTCAAATCTCAAGGTCATTAAGTCCAAAGGTCAATTTGAAATTTTGTATCTTTTTACTGATGAACACTTTGTCATCATATTATGATGCAAAGTTGACCAGAATTTAACAAGAAGACAACTGACCAGATATCAAGGTCACGTGGTTGGACCTTTGAGTCCAAAAATCAAGGACAAAATTAATCAAAATTAAAAAGTAAATTACTGTTGTATGTAAATTATTATTTGTGAAAATATCTTAATAGTTTGACATTCTTTAAAATATTCTAGTCTGATTATAATTCGATCATGATTAAAGGAGGAAAAAAGACAATTTGATAAATGTGTAATAATGATAGCATTTATGGACAAATAAAATTTTTTTCATTTTTCAATTTTAAGCTCCTGGCTGACCAATGCGTTTTCCTGGTTTGGAATACCATACTTTTTCTATGACCTTGTGGTGATGTATAAAGGTCACATGTTGACGTTTCCAGCCATACATGACCAGACGTTTGTGAATAGAATTCAACATTTTGTCCTCCATAACAAAATGCTTACAGTCCATCATTTCTTCCTGCCTTTGATTTTTTTTCCAGTGGTAGTGGTAAGTGTTTGAGATATTTTTCATTCCTGCAACTAAAATGCATATGTTACCCCAATAATACACCAATGGTTTATGTTCAAATTGCTGTATAACTCTTACCTTGAATCTTTTTGTTTATTCCCGGTGATATGATCATAAGGAATAGGGCATTTTTGGAGCTTTTGAAGTTTTATCAGAACTCTAGATAGTCTTAATATATATGTGTATATATATACAAAATATTTCTGGATATGTGTAGTGTAATATACCGTGGAGCTAGTCAGAAATTTATTTTGATTTCATAAAGTGGTGAATTTTGACTTTTAAACCTGTCAAAATAATTTTTTTTTGTGTTTCATGATAAAAAATATCTGGGATTGGTTTTCCATTTCAAGTGAGATTTCATAAAAGTAATCTCACAGAATTAGTTTTTGTTCACCAAGACTCACAAAAATAAAAACTTCAAAGTCTTGATTCAGAAAATCTTATGAAATAAAAACTCATTTAAGATCCTATAAATTAAATGAATTGGAACTAGGATTATGAGTATTTATACATAAAATGTGCTGGTTCTGTTGCAGTTTCTCCGACGAGGTATTGGAGATTTCTTTGTTGGAGTATTCTTTCAATTAGAAGTTTCTCTTCCATTTATAGCTGCACGTAGCATCTTGGTTCAGGTAAAATGTTTCTTCTTAATTTGCCACAAATAGTTTATACTCATATTTATTTTGTGCCTAATCAAAAATTAGATCAGCTATAAGTAAAAACCAAAAAAGCCAAAGGATAAATCCTACAAGTCTTCTAAACTGTCTTAACTATTTGAAGCTACATGTATTTTCTATGTGAATGCTATAACACTGTATATAAATTATGTCTCCCTTAAATCAAAAGAAAAGATCAATTTATTTATATAAATATATATTTTTTGAGGGGTTTTTAAGGCTGAATTAAGGCCCCATTCCTAATCGAAATCATTCATATTTAAGCCAAAGTCCCATAATTTGCAAAACTTTTCTTCTCAATTTTCTAATTTTCTTCCCAAAACGAGGCAAAAATGCTCAAACCTAGACCTGTGAAAAAAGCTATGATATGTCAATAAGGTGTATCAGATGCTTATTTGTGGAGTTTAAAGTAAATATCATAACAAAACTACCTGTGATAAGTGTCTTGATGTTATATTAATTGTCTGTTTTGTTTTTAGCTTCACCAGAAACACACCGTTCTATATGTGATTGTGGGTATTGCAATGATGATTACCTTTTTTGTGAGTCGGATCCTGGTTTTCCCGTACCTGTACTGGCATTACGCAGTATACAAGAACATACCTACCTGGAGAGTTCCTTTTGTCATTCCACTGAAGTGCAGCATTGGTTGTGCTTTCATCCTCTGTATACAGCTGTATTGGATGTCCAAGATGCTCAAAGGCGCTATTAAGCTTATAAACAGATTCAAGTCGGGTAATATGCCAACCCCGGAACAATTGAATTACAATGATGTTGCCACTGAGAAGATAAATTGATTTTCAACACATAACTTTTTTATCAATGTTAACTGAAATTTATACTTTATAAAGTAAGTACCCTGTTATTTTTCAAAATGTTGATTGAATCTATATATTTTTTTTAGAAAAGATTAATTTATCGTAATGAAAATTAAAACCCTTTGTAATTACCCGGCAATAAGCCCATGTCTGGTCTACAATAAATCCACCTATATATTGCTGTTCATTAAAATTGAAAACCAGTAGGTTATATGCCTGTGATAAGCCCAACCTTACAATGTTGGCCCTAGAATATAGCTAGATAAATTTTGTAGAATTACTTCTCCTATTTAACAATGTAATGATATTTTGCTTTTTGAAAATAAGTATAAAAATCAGTTAAAGAATTGTAAACTAGTTTTAAGAAGAGTTAATGATAAGATTTTTGAAAAATTGAATCAAAACTATTTATCTGACTTTTTTAATGATATAATATAATTATATATTGTTATTTTTGTTGTTGATATGTTTACTTCAGTTTGTGTGTTTGTTTGTGTGTTTTCATATCTACTTTAATGCTGCCTAGCAGCCCCTTTTACCTTTATTCAGGGCCGTAAGTGTTGATATTTTAAATTATTTACTGTAGTAATACTTTGTTATTGTCTATTTATGAAGTTAATCATGCGCAAGTTATAACAGGGAATGTCAAGTTATCACACTGTCATCACAGGTGGCTTTGACAGTTTTTGTTTTTAGATTTTTATTGAATAGTTTAATGAGAGATGATAAAGTAAAAAGTTATTAATGTGATTGAGAAGTAAGGTAAATAAATCTATTCCAAATAAATCCTGAAGAAGCCCATATGTTTCAGGCAACACCGGTAGACGAATGATAATAAATAATCATTTCGGTGTCCTGAGCTTGTTGCGATTGCCTATTATCTTTTTATTCCAAATAAAGATATTATGTATGTAGGGAAATCGGAACCAAAAAACACAAATTTGAAAAGAGAGTTTCTATTGATAACTTAACATTAATTGCAATTTATCAGTTGATGACAATATGCTGCAGTTTAAATGATGAAAAGTAGAAATATAGCTGATTTATAGATGTCTTGATCTAATTAAAAAAAAAAGATAAAACATAGAAAGTTCAGAATGGAAACATATTTGTAAAATTTGTAAAACTACAAGGAAACCCAAACTCTTTGACCATGTGAATTTATTTTTGTTACAACTGAAAGCATAGGGTTCATAAACGAATCTTGTTTGTAAATATTTCTAACATATAGACAATCAACTATATGAATCTGTACATTGTTTTATGTTATATAAGAAGGCAATATCAAAGACAATGATCTCTTCCATGTGCAATTTAAACGGCAATGTTTGGTATATCATGGATATGTAAGTGTTTTCTATATGTGGATATAATTACTTATCTTGTTTACATGCATGTATACTGAAAGGGCTACAATACAAACAGTAGTTGGTAGAGTATCAAACTGTACAACTTCAGGGAAAGCTCTTAAGTGTGTGATTATATCTCTACTTGAAAGAGTTTGTATTTCACAGGAAGCTAATTAGGTCATAGTTCATCCAGTGCTGTCATTGTGTCCTTGGATGAGACTTTTGGTGTGCCTCCTGCATAGTTTCATTGTGGTAGCAACCATCTATTGCAAGGAGATATGGCCGTAAAATGTCTCTGGCTATTCATTGGGTGATAAACCCTGGTAGACTGGATGATAGAAACAGACATCTATAATCTTTTGTCAGATTTACATGTATCTTTTTTTTACATTTTATCCTCTTTTATAATTTTCACAAAGATTATGAAATCTTTTAATGTCCTATACATCATAACGGATATTTCTGTTTGAGTTTGTAATGTAACAAGTTATGCTAATTGATTGAATGTTTAGAAAGTACAGAGTGATGTCATGAAAGGATGGATGAAGGACTTGGGATAGAAAATCTAAGCCTTAATATGACAAGATCACCGATTCTAACATATTGATCCTAACTACTGATATTTAAGTCTTTATCAGAAGCTTACCATGAAAGAGGAATAAGATTTTAAAAGAGAATTTCAGATTCATTTTTTTTTTGTGATGCATGATTTGTACAAAATGGACACCATGAGAATGGTGTTAGTTGTCAGGTTTTGTTTAACACTTTTGATCAACAAAAGAACGTAGTTGTGATATTTAGTGTACCTGTTACCGTTTAGTGAATTTACATTTCTGTTTCATGAATAATCACTTCATTACAGAAAATATGAAATCCACATCCTAGCAAATTATGTTAACATATCAAGATATATTGTTTTACTCTAAATACAGTTTTAATATGTATTTATGATCTCTCTCTTACCTCTGAAATATTCGTCCGTCCAAGTTTCATTAACAGAATATCACATTCCTTTTCTGTTAGTCTTGTCTACTGATGAAAATGGCAGCTAATTACTTATAACAGAATACTTTATTGGTGTTTTCAGTAGGTTAAATGTTGGTGGTTTATATAAATGTAATTTATCTAACAACAATGATGAAACAGGCTGTCACCTTATATTACTCGTTTTTGTAATTAGCTTGTATTGGATGATGTGAGGGGTCTTAATGTTGGGGAAAATTGGGTAAACTGAGAAAGATGTGTGCATTACCATCATATCACATAGGGGTCGAAACATGTTAACAAATTAGTCTATAAATATACTACAACAAGTGTTCCTGGATGTTTTGAAACCTTTATTTTCTCATTATGTTGACGGCATTGTAAGGAACTCTACAGAATACCTCAGATATCCTTTCAGGAACCTAGCCGCAATCTTAGACATATAGTGTGTTGGTTCTTCAATATTGTTTTCTCTTGAATATATATATTGTGATTTTACCAAGAAATTGGTGCAAAAGAGTTTTTCTTTAATGGAATTCATGAATTTTTCTTTGGGACTTTAATCTATCCTTAAGATTAGCAATATTTATTATTAGCTCACCTGGCACAAACCTTTGAATGACATCTCAAGAGGTGAAAGGCTAAGAGGCATATTTGACTGGTATGTTCCTAGGATGAAGCCTGACAAAGTTTGGGAATATAAATAACCTTCACATATTCAAAGTCATAGAGGTCAAATTTGTTGAAACTTTTAAACAACTTCTTCTCATGAACTAAAAGGCTTAGAGGCATGATATTTGAGTGGTATATACCTGGTGATATTACCATTGGGCATCTTGTTATTTAAAAAATGTGGTAGGGGGAATAGAGCCACTCAAATATGCTTTCTTTGATTTTATGTACATTGTTTTGTAAGTAGAATTTCATCTGAACCCTGAACATATGTTATTGTAAACTAGAATTATACTTTAAGATGTTTCTAATATTAAGCAATAAAATCACAATTTTTTCTTAACTGAAATGCTATGTAAACACATCTTTACTATAGTGATGTTCAAAAAATAGCTTATAACAAAGTTTAAAATGCTCGACCACACAAGATATTCATTCAATAATTACTACCTGTACACATCTACATTAATTTGTATTATTTTCACATGTTTTATAGTTAGAAAAAATTTCTAAATTGTAAGTTATTACTACTAGTAATTTATTTAATACATTTTGTAATTATATGTAAGTGAAATTGGAATTTAAGACAAGTCAGATATATTGAAAATGGTGTCTTTCTACATACTTGGAGGAGGAAGGGATTAAGTGCCATAGATGAACAGTTATGTATTACTCATAACTAAAGATAGATTAGAATGCATTTCACTTACGTACCTGCAATAATCTTTAGATTTTATTTATTAACCAATTTGATTTGTGTACTATGTAAATATGAAAAAGTGTCTTTTCCACTTACATCAGACAGATATTCTTTTCTATTGCCATGTATCATTTTAACTGTTTCTGAAGTTTTCATTTATTATTCTGATTATAAATTATATACTGTATATCGTGAAATTTTTGCTCCTGTTTTAATTTTGTCCTTTTCATCAATAAAAAGGGAGAGCAAACATAAGATAGGGCAAAATCATTTTTTTTTTTTACATTGATATTACCCTTTTTATGCATATTGCTCAGAGGGTGAAATGAACACGAGCTAAATTTTTTTGTAATGGTACTAGGATGAAAATAACCTGGAGCAAAAATATCTTGATATACAGTAGATGTGATATTACAATACATATGTGGAGGCTTATGCAGATCCTTGATATTATTTCAGACTGTAAATGTGTTATTCCCTTGTTTTTGTAAACTTTAACATTGTTTAATAGGTAATTTTGAATGAGCTAATTCAGATGTATTATTCAATTTTAAACTTTAAGGAATGAATCATTTATCTCGTTGAACATCCTAATTGCATTCATTAAAAAAACATTGATAAGTGGAAATCTTTTAGATTGACATCATTATGTAGTTACATAAACATCATCAACATATCTTTAAATTAATATGTGTTTGAACTTCAAAGGATTTTTGAGTAAGACAGTGTTAAAATAATTCATTGTTTTGTCTTTGTTGGGGTCAAATTTTGAAAATAAGCTATCATTCAACATCACTTTTGAATATTGCTATCAGATTAAAACTGTTAGATATCAGATATATGATTTTTATTTCTTTTGGACCTCAATAATTTCATGCAATAAGTATTTAGTATATAAAACTTTTGATAAAGACAAGAAAAATATGCTACAAAGAAAGACAGATTATCAATATTTTTATTGCATCTTGGCTTAAAAATTGTGATATTTGTTATTAAGTCATTCAAATTAGATTTGAAAAAAAAGTATATACTGATAGGAAACATATCGGGTGATTGTAAGAGACTTTAAAGAAGACCTTGTGACGTGTAATGTTATTATGTACATCTGTTTTATTGAATGAAATAACTGCAAATTATATAAGTGTGTGATCTGTAGGGCTTAACCACTTTTTATTTGTGTTTAGTTGTACATGATCAAACTTTGAGGGAAATTTTATCTATTCAGTCTGAAGAGCCTAGGGTTAGTTACTGTAAAAATACATATTTTAGTGAAG